GGGCAGTGCTCATCTCCATTTCAAAGATGAAGAGCCAGCGCTGTCCAAAGACGTTTCCGTGGTCATGTGGCCGGCATGACTAAATGCTGAAGGCGCATGGAACGCTGTTACCTTCCCACCAAAGGTGGTCCCTATTTTTCTACTTGCATTTTTACATGCTTTTGAACTATTAGGTTGGCAGAAGCTGGAACAAGTAACGGGAGCTCACTCCATTATGTGGTGCTAGGGATTCAAACCGCTGAACTGCCGACCTTTCTGATCGACAAGCTCAGCATCTTATCCACTGAGCCACAGCGTCCCATTGATGGTATGAGCCCCAATACAAAGACAGAACAAACGTGCCAGAATAAACCAGTTTGATTTAAAAGATAAAGGCACACACCATGAAAAGTTAACTACCATTCCATCTTCATAAAATGAAAATGTGCTTAGCTCTCCAGACAAAAGTTCATCATCTATCAGACTAGCCAACAAATCTTCCATGTGCTTAATATATTAGTAAATGTTGAACATATGCCTAAGACACCTTGTAGGAGCCAAAATCTGTTTTATATAGTTGTTTCATTAGGGGAAAAAGGTCTACCTTGGTATTGGTTTCTATTTCTATTTGCACAACTGGGCCATTTGATTAAAAACACATGCTCTTCCTTCCTTAAACTATATTTTAGTTTATTTTCCTCAAAAACGTTCCCCTTCAGGACTCCAAAAGCAACATCAATTTGTCTTTTAAGTAGGTCTCTTCAGTCGATATATTTGGTTTCTGAAAACTGAGCAATTTAGCTGCAGATCATCCATAGACATTGTAAATCTTGAGATACAATAAAGGTAAAGTTATACCAAGGAGCAGCTATATGGTTTCTAGATTCCCCTCATTTTCTAAATATCTACTGGTCCATATCCTATATCATTAAATCACTTTGTGTTTTGATGCCTCTTTTACTGGAGAAAAAACCCCCCAATGAAATAGGAGACTGGAAAAATACAGAAAACCACGTTGCTATGAGGTGACATTATGGGAAAACCTGATATATAGCTTATGTGTTTACAGAAAAATCTCCAGCAGTTAAAAATATTCATTACATGAGAAGCAAAATATATCCTGGAGTGCCTCCAACTGATAAGGTATAGGAAGCGATTACAGATATCACCAAAAAATAGAGAAACATTTTGGAGCATTCCTTTCCTTGTGGACAAGGACCCAAGACAGCTGAAGAATGCCTTGATGAAGCCTCTGGAAAGTCCACACAGCTACAGACATAAAATATCTGAAATGAAGCAGAAATAAGTACAGTATGGGCTCATGCCCAGTGCTTAAATTTGGAGCAAGCTAAAAGGTTTACAGTCGAATCAGAAGTAGCCGGGGTGGACTGCTGGGGGTTCGCAGGGGTTCGGGAGGACCTCTAGCTAAGATTCGGTGCAGTTCGGAGAACCCCCAAATCCCACTCCTGGCTGGCCCCTCCCACTCCTCCCCTCCCAGGAGTCCCCATACAGCCCGTTTTCGAGGCAGGTAAGTGCAGGGCGCGCAAGAAGGCTCGGGGGGGGGGGGGGGCGAAAAACGGGCCTACCAGAAGTTCAGGAAGGACAGAAACCAGCCTGTTTCCAGCCTCCAGAGGGCCTCTGGAGCCTAGGAACAGTTTTTGCCCTCCCGGAGGCTCTAGAAAAACCTCCAAAGTCTGGGGAGGGCAAAAATGCCCCCTCCCTGTGGTGCAGGATGTCGAGTAGGCCATGCCCACCATGGCCACACCCACCCAGCAACCGGGCAGAGAACCTCTTGCTAAAATTTTTGAAGCCCACCCTTGGAAGTAGCTGAAGATGTCTAGTCTAGTGAAAAGAAGGGCTAGGGGTGACATGATAGCAGTGTTCCAATATCTCAGGGGCTGCCCCAAAGAAGAGGGAGTCAAGCTATTCTCCAAAGCACCTGAGGGCAGGACAAGAAGCAATGGGTGGAAACTAATAACCAAGGAGACCTAATCTGATAGTTTCTAGTCTTTGAACCAGGTGAAACAAGAAGGTGTTTACCATGTTTTTCCCACTTCCATTGGATGTTTTACAACCAGCCAGACAAGGTGAGATATACGTGATCCCATTTTCTCCACATATAGGATCCCACTCATTTTTGGAGCATGCACATCCTGCATTACACTCTGAAAACAGAGTTTGTTCATAGGAGGAGATTGGCTTGTTGCTAGTGGAGAAAAAGAGAAAATACTGCAAGATCATTGTAGGTTGTTTCTCAACAGCATGGAGTGACTGGACCCATGTAGGATCCTGACATTAAAAGTCTCCCTTTTAATAAACGTTGTCGGTTAGAAAAGATGCTACCCACTCTCCTTTCCAATATGAACCAAGAAATGATCCATCAGATAAGAGGGATCATTGTGTTCATGAACAATATTCGATCAAGACAGGAAGCTCTTTTAAGCTTTTTCCATCTCAGTCCAGAAGGTTCTTCATTGACAACCAGGGGTGAAATGCTCCCGATCCAGACCGGATCATCCAATCCAGTAGCGATGGCGGCGGGTGATTCGGAGAACTGGTAGCAAAAATCCCTGCCCCTCCCCATGCCCAGCTGAGCCGCGCAATCATCAGAGGCTTTTTTAAAAAAAATTTAAAAGCATTTTTTCTACCTCTTCAGCTGAAAAAATGCTTTTAAAAGCCTCTGATGTTCCCAGCTGAGTTGCCTGATTGGCAGAGGCTTTTAAAAGAAAAAGAGCTTCTGCCGATCAGGCAACTTAGCGAGACCCTTACTTTTGAAGTGTTTTTTTCTAATTGGCTGCCTTTTGTTTTTTGTTTTTTAATTTCCTGATTCTATATTGCATTGCGTTTTTATCTTTTGAAAGTGTTGTTTATTTTAAAACACTTAAAGAATAAAATTCATGACACTTAAAAAGTGAAAGTGGGACAGGACGTATCAAATGGAAAATACTTTGTATGTAGATGACGTTGTAATCTTGTTTCATTTGGGAATGAGGACAGTGGCTGTCTTTTGCCTAAACCTCCCTGCCCCCAGTAATAAATTACCAAAATAGTGACTATTTTGCATGACAACACTGTAGGATTCATAAATGGCAACTTAATGAGACCCTCAATAGACCAGATGCATGCTTACAAATATTTTGGGGGGCAGTTCCAGGTTCTTGGAACACACAATTCATTTATCAGGCTAGTGTTGCACAACGAAGTTCTCAACTGTCTGAGAAACTGAGATTTTTTTCCCCATTAATCACCATGTTATTTGTATGACACTATTTTATCATATCTGCAGATTTTTAAGGTGTATGTATTTCTATATATGCTTGATCTGCATGTTTGATGTGTGTTGTGTTTTTGGGTCAAAGGCTGTAATAAAGGGAGGCCCCCAACTTCCTAAGGTCTTGGTTCAACTGCTGAACTCTTCTCTTTGTTAATTTTTTTTTCTGATATAAAATCAGACATTGCATACCTGTTAATTAAGATCACTATTTACTGCTCTCCATTCCAGGATAACAAAAAATGATCCCTAATATTTCTCGTGCCACTACCTTTTCAGATACTTGAAACTCTCATCCAGGCTAAAGTAGTGATGGAGGACCTATGCCAAATATGTCACGGGTGGCACACCAGGCTATTTTGGTGACATACCAGGCCCCTCGATGTTCTGCAAGCCACAGGAGAGGGCCTTGCTCTTAGCATAGCCTCTGAACCCTCCAAAAACTGGGCAAGCATTCTTATGCAATTTTTTGGAGGCTCCAGAGACCTTATGATAGTAGGACCCTCTTGTATTACTTCCGGAGAAGAGTATCCGGAGAAGAGAGTACAACAGAAAGGATGTCTGGAGAAGCCTCCTTCTCCTCTCAGTCAAGGTGGGAATTTTCTGAATTTCTGACACATCAAGCCCAAAAGGTTTGCCATCTAAGGCTAAGTGTACCTGTTGTGGCTGAATCAGCCGAATCAGAGGAGGACAAGGGCAGCATCAAGGCAACCTGAGAGCTCCGAGGGGAAAAGAAGGAATGGAGCTGGCAGAGAGACAGACAGAAGTGGAGCCTGGGCCATCCATCAGCCCTCAGATGGAGAGTCAACAGCTCCCAGGTCTGGAGGTGGCTGATGAGGAAGAGGTGGAACAGCTGGGTCCAGTGCCTGACATGCGGCTGCACAGAAGGCAGAGGAGAGGAGAGCAGTGGAAATCTGTGGGCCAATCCTTGGGAAGGAAGGGCCACCATTGCTAGCGAAGCCCCACCCTAGCTCTGGGGATAAAAGGCAGGGGGTGGAGATGAATAGATGTGGCAGACAACTATTCATCTCCCTGCCGGATAGACTTGTTAGCCTGCGGTGAGAGAGAAACTTTTTGCTGGGGCTGTTGGTGCTCCTAATAAAGGAATCATTGATTTAACTTCAGAGGGCTTGTCGTGTTTGGAGAGCTGGGTCAGAACGGTACCTAGTACTGCAGGAGATGACCAGGCTAAGCCCATGGAGGGGTGGGGGTGTCAAATGCGTCATCAGTCTCAAGTCACTTTGCACCCACAAGAGACTTGAAGTCCAGCCCACCTTAAATTCCATTGACCTTTATCTATTGCCAATTTGCTTTGACCGTTAGTAGATCAGATTTTTGTAGAGCTAGAATGCAATAAACCTGTATTCATTTGAACCACTTTGGCTCCACGTTTCCTGTGCTTGATAATTCTTCCTTATTCTGCCCTCACTGAGTTTAAATTTACAGTCACTTGCTCACAAACATTGCTTATCTTCTAAACTCTTTTGAATCTTCCTTAAATTTGGTACCCAGGACTTGATGAGAGGACTTGAACTACAGTGTGACCAATACTATTAAGTCCTGGACCATTGAGGCAATTACAAGACAAATCACAAACTCCATTCTCTTTTATGACCCTGGTAATTTGTTAATTTGAAGTAGGGTTGGGGTGGCTCGATGGAGCTGAGCATTTACTGACCGGATGCCCTTCCTGACGCCACATGGAGTTCATGAACCCCATTAAGAAAAAAAAAAAAAGAACAGTCACCAATATGATACCACAGAATTATATTTATGTTTTTTTCTTCACATTGCAACATCCATGTTGTTCATTTTGTGACACATTATCTCTAATAATTCTGAATATATATTTACTATAATACATTATACCAAGAGGCACTTCCAGTAATTCTGGCAAAAAAGGAGCTTCATTAATAGTGTCTAACTTACAAAACAGTAAAAATAAATAATATTTATCTAAAAGATTTCTCCTGTTTCTCCGCCTGTACAGAATCTATTTTGTACAAAACATTTATCAGCCATTAACTAAAAATCACCTAACGAATACTCGTGAAGGGAATATATTAAGTATTGCTACATGTCTTAAGTGCAAGATATCTGTGAAAAGAAAAGCCAACAGAGATTTCAGTCAGTTTGTGAAAGACCATTACCTTAAAAATACAAGGCCTTGTTTTTGAAGTTTTTGCTTTAAAAGAAGTTTGGTTACAACAATCTTGGCAATATATAAATATAAATTAATGCAGGTAGTATTTAGTGAAAAGAAGACCGTGTTTAAAAAATTGACATCTACAAATACTGAATGCAGGAGGTACAGTTCTACAGTACAACAATGGTTGGCAATTCCACCTACTTGGGAGGGTTGAAAATGTCACAACTGAATCCCTTTTATAAAGCCTCATTTGAATTTAGTGGGACACTGTGAAGGAGCAAGCAGTGTGTTGTTATGACACAACAGATGCTACTTCTTTCTTTCAGCAACTTCTTCAATCCCAACTTGAAATTTAAAAAAACCCCAAAGAAACAGAAGAACCACTCAGGTAGTGAGGTCCTTCTAAATTGCTATTTCTCCATCATCTTCCATCTTTCCTTTGCTTTGGCTCTTCAAAGAATGTTGAAGAGTCAACATTGGCTGCCCAACAACTTTCAAGAACTCTCATTTCTATCTACCCGGGATGGCTATTCTAGTTCAGGAGATCATTGGTGCCTTACTAGGATGATGGCTATAATGGTAGGCCATGGTGGACGGACACACAAGTCAACACTAGTTGACTTGAAAAATTAATGGGCCTTGGAAACATTCAGGTCTGGCTTGATCACCTTCACCTGTCGCCGTCCCCTTTTTTTCTTTATGAAGAAAATAGTACTTCATGATATTGCTTTTGAGGAAACCTTCAACTCTTACTATGAAACCCACAACTCTACCAAGAGACCTTGATGGGGCAGACAAACCAACAATGACTGAAAGACTCAAAACCTGCCTAGGTAAACTGGAACAATGGGTCCTTCAAGCCACAGCCACTATGGTTTCTTGAATGCTCAGATTGAACTCAGAGGACTCAAATACAACCATGTGCTGAAGGTTCACCTCTCAAGTTAGGAATCAACACTATTTGGTCTGAAGAGAAACAAGAGTGAATTGGCTTTAATTCCTATGATGGTCAAATACACACTCATCTTTCAAAGATTGCTGGGGATAATCATTCTTAAATTTTGGTGCAAATAGGATAGATGGGTGGGTGGGTTGTCTTAATTTCATGGATGTTAGGCATCACCTGTGCATGGAACATTGCAAGGATCAGAGATGGAAAAGTTACATCTCTTTGCGCACAAGCGCAAGCACTTTCCATTCGTGCAGGATGCCGTGGAGCTATGCATGCATCCGCCACTCACACCGCCCTACCGCCCTCAAGCCGGGCTGCCAATCTGGAAAGATTGGAGACCGCTGCTCTCACAAATGTACCTACATCAGTTTCATGTCCGCTAGCAATCCCTAGAAAAAAAAAATCAGAACTGGAGAAGACCAGCAGATAAACAATCCTCTTTAGATGTGGGTTGGTACAACTGAACAGGAGAAAAGATTGACATGAAAACACAAACACTCCAACATCCAGCAAGTACTTTTGTTTCAAACGTAGAACATATTTCTAGGCAATTTAAAGCCATTAGACTCTGGTTTGTCCTCCGAGAAGGAGAGCTTATATAATAGTCACTAGAATGTGAGAATCATCTCTCTAATGTGCACTTGAACAGTGGCATCTGCAAGATATTATTAAAAAAATAAATTAAAATTTAAGATGGTGGCCGTGATGGTGTAATCAAAGTTTCTACCCCCACTTTTCTTTTGCATATTATGTACAACACACACAAAAACCAGGCAAAGCATTGATTGCATTGTCGTAGCTGCCAATCTTGACTTTCTGGCCGTACTCTGTGGACCAGGGGTCTCCAACCTTGGCAACTTTAAGACTTGTGGACTTCAACTGAGGAACTCTGGGAGTTGAAGTCCACAAGTCTTAAAGTTGCCAAGGTTGAAGATCCCTGCTGTGGACAACCCTATGCAGCTGGAAGGGCCACAAGGGGACAAATCTGAGATGTTTGCTTCAAACATCATACATGAAGACTTGCTACACACTGTATAACCTTCTCAGAAATGGAGTGTTTTAACTATTTCAAAGACATTGGTGAGTTATGGGAAAAGTGCGAGAGGCTGAACTATTTTACTAACTAATTCTAATGTGCATTTCCCGCTTCACTTGGAACTGGCTTAATCTAAGTGAAGGGAGGCAAGGATGATGCTGGTTTCAAACATGGCTTCCCAGACTGGATGGCACCAAAACACCTGATCTTCTTCTTCTTTTTTTAAATTGAGTGGCAGTGAAAGATTACTCAGAAGCTTAAGGCATCCGTTTCACATCTTAAGAACTCCTAAATTTCCTTCTAAATCTAGCCTTAGCCTCATCTTATGTGAACCCTGGTTCAGTGTGGATGGTCAGAACCCAGCTATTGTGGTTCACGAACCACACATTATGGCTCAAGGCAAATTGTAAATATGGCAAATCATGGCTTATTCAACGATCTTCAATCACATCACAACTTTGGGCAAAATGTGAACTGAGTTTCTACATTTCCCATACATTCAGCAACAATCTGAACAATCTATGTAGGGGTGTCTAAAATGGGCAACTTTGAGACTTGTGGACTTTAACATGGCTGGCTGGGGAATTCTGGGAGTTGAAGTCCACAGGTCTCAAAGTTGCCAAGGTTGGATGGCCCTGATGAAGACTGTGAATCTAGGGCAGGGCTGTCAAACTTGCGGCCTCTGGGCCACATGTGTCACGTGCTGCCCATGCCCATGTGCGGTTTAGCGAAGTGGGGGGGGGGAGTTGTGATATGTCACGTGATCACGAGTTCGACACCCCTGATCTAGGAGATTCCAGAGAACTAACTTGGGAGAAAAACAATGAGACAAAATAAACTCATCCTGAAGGGGTTAGTAAGATAAGAGAAATGGGTTGACTCAATAACCAATCAAATGGAAACAGGACAATAATTTCAGAAATTATCTGAAAAAATCCTGCACACTTAGCTACAGATGGATCTCCTTCCACATGTATTACTACTTAAAACTCTGTGATGAAGAGTTAGGCTCTGCTGCTAAATTGCAGCACTTTTCTTACACTCGAAGTGTCTCTTGACGGCTGATGCTACTAATCCCACCGATTTGAAAAGAATTTCTCCTATTCCATTCCCAATCATGCAGGACTTCATTTGTCAAATTCAAAAACAGTTACATTTTATGGGGTGGGGTGAATCTTTTCTTTTTAATTATCTTTACAAATACAACCCAACTTCCCTTGACTATCAACAGGATACTAAAAAGTGTCTGTATTTACATGTAGGCTAATAGAAATTAGTTGTGAGCAAAGAAGTAACCATTAAAAATGGAAAACTGATTCATCTAACAAAGTCCTAAGCCTGCTGGTGAATTTTCCCCACGTATTGGGATCTTGCCTTTATAGCTGCCAAGACATACAATCAAGGTAGACAAACTTTGATATCAAAGTTTCTTCTGCAGTTCCGGGTCATTCATCCAAACTGCATTTCAAAGGGAGGAATGGGATTGTATTCACTTTAAAAATAAAATTGAACACTGCCCAGATGGAGGACATAAATAGCATGGGAGAAATAGGCAAGTCATATTGTCTTTGTTTCCCTAAATTATACTATTTTCTTTACATTCTGGCATTCATACCTATAGCCTCCCAAAGGAGACATTTGAAAGATCTCCTGAAATGATACTTGTCAGATCACCAGGTTTTCCTTAATATAGGTACATGAGAACATCAAAACAGAATTTAGTCTGCTTATGATGCGGTCAACGAACATGAAACGCAGGACAAAATCACTTTTCTTGAAAACCAACAGCATAATGGATTCCTGCCTTAGTGGGAGAAGGATAATGCTAAAGTTTCTTTTTCTTGTTTTATATAGTTGCTTTCCAATTCTCCTTGGGCCAGAAACCAATTCTATCTATCAACTAAGACCTCTGGACTTCAACTCCCAGAATTCCCCAGCCAGCAAGGGGAATTCTGGGAGTTGAAGTTCACAGGTCTTAAAGTTGCCAAGGTTGGGGACCCCTGGTTTTAGATCCCCTCGCTTCCAAACTGCTGTCCTGAAGAACCACGGAGTTCTTTGGAAATTTCTCGTGGTTGTGGAAGGGGACAGATAAATGGTAAGTGACATTTCCTTGGCTAAAATATTAGATGGGTCACTGCATCTACAAAATGGCCTCTGCGTCATGGAGGGAAAATGCAAGATGACAGCCTTCCTTAATGTTGTTGAGACCCTCTAGAAATGTGTCTTCCAGAATCCTCAGCAATGACCAAGCTGTCTGAAAAATTCTGGAAGCTGAAGGCCTCCCTTCTAGAGGGGGCATTTGACTTGGTGTAGGACTGCAGTGAGTCCTAGGCAGTGTTTCATATAAATTGTCTATGTGCTCCAGACTCCTCGTAATCACATGCAATCAGCTTATGACAAACAAATCGATGAAGAATGGATCCCTTGAAGTAGATTTGAGTTCCTTCTGATTGAGGTCACCAGGCACTGGGTTCATAGCCCATACACAACACATTCCAATGAAAAGCAGAAGAAACGGTTACCCGGCATTTTTCATTCATGGTCCTCCTTTAAAGTCACCTTTCTGAGACCCCACAAGACACATGAAAAGATGAGGATGCAACAAAAGGTGGTAAGGACGAGAGGGATCCTAAAGTGTCTCTCTCCAAAGTCTATCTCAATTCAACAAATTGGAAATTCCTTCAGACGCCATAGAATATTCCCACCACCACCACCTTCTCTTCAGCAGATTAATATGCGAGGCTTGCTTGAAACTTGCTCGCCCAACGTGGGGGAAGGGGAGGTGGCATAGACAGTTGTGCAATATACAGGTAGGAGTTGCAGCTCACACAAGTCTTCGAGGGACATGGCCTTTTCGGAAAAAAACAATCAAGACCCACCAAACAGAGACAGAGGCAGCTCGCTCCAGAAATGGGAAGTCCTGTTTTCCAGAGCTGTTGTGGGCTCACCTCCGTCTGGATTTTACTGAGTTGTGTGGAAGAACGAGCAAGAGGTCCGAGGCAGAGTTCTCCAGGCTGAGAAAGAGAGAGAGCAAGTTCTCTGCAATGGAGGTGCATAAATCTTCTGCGGTGACATGCCCAGTGTGTCACAGCCAGTCTCCAAAGCAGAACGTCCTTCCCTTTGCTCCGTGAATTGTGGCGCTCCTGTTTTGTGTCCGCCTGATGTCCTGCAGGCGCATCTATGCTGGCAGTCGGGATCAACCATTAACTTACACAATCAGTTATTCCACTTTGGCAAACAAACAAACAAACAAACAAACCAAGGGCAGTAAGGCCTTCTCCATTTCATAGAGTATTGTCTCATTTTCAAATCCTTCCCTTTTTTTTTTTAATAACGTCACAGGCAGCATCGTATAATCTTCTTTTTAAAAAGAACAAATAAACAAATATGCAGCTTATAAACCCAGGCTAATATTTTATGTATATATATATATACTGTATTTATATAATTATATATATATATATATATTTATAATTCTCCAATGTATTTGAAAGTTTGTAAAAAGGGCCATTGAACTGTGAAAGCAATGAACCTCATGGGAAGGAAGGAAGGAAGGAAGGAAGGAAGGAAGGAAGGAAGGAAGGAGGAAGGAAGGAAGGAAGGGTTAAACAGCCTGTAGGTGAATTACCCCATATTTCTACAGTGTTGTGTCTAAACGTTGTGCTGGCTTGTAAAAACAACTGTTATGCAAGATGTCCTTGCACCAAATACTGTACAAAATTCCTGTCACTGTCATTGGTTTGCTTCTGAAGCTGTGTCATCTTCTTCCTCTTTGGCCTTTCCTTTCTCCTCTTCCTCCTCTTTAATCGCCTCTATTTGTTCAGAGGACGAGTGCAGTGCCGTTGATGGCTCCCCACTTTGCTTGTCCTTCCCAGCTCTCCTCTCTTCCTCTTCAATGACCTTCTTCCACATCTGATGGTTCTGCACTAAGTGCTGAGTTATCTGGCAGTAAACTTTCCTCCTTTTCTTTCCTGCCAAAGAAGACGATAAGCAAACATGAAGCCTCATTCACATTGGGAGAAAAGTCTGAAAAGACCTGGCTTACTTCTACAAAAATGTACTGTATTTTTTTGGGGTATAAGACACACTTTTCCCCCATAAAAGAGGGTAAAAATTGAGGTGCGTCTTATACACTGAATGTAGCTCCGCCCTTTGGCCTCTGCCTCCCAGTAATTTACCTCCTTGCAGCAAACAGCCCATTTCAGCTTCAGCACAGCCTGATTTTAGCACAAGCAACTGATTGTCAGTTGGATCAGCCTCCTGACCCTCAGCTGTTTCAGGCTGCAGGGATTGCCATTGCCTATTGCCGCGCGCCCCATTTGCTGCAAGGAGGAAAATTGCTGCAGAGGCAGAGGCAGATTTTTGTTTTCTTGTGCTAATCAGGCTGTGCTGAAAATGAACATGAAACTAAAGCAGGCTGTTTGCTGCAAAGAGGCAAATTGCTGGGAGGCAGAGGCAGATTTTTTTTTTCTTGTTTTTCCTCCTCAAAAAAGGTAGGTGCGTCTTATAGTCCGGAGTGTCTTATACTCCAAAAAATACGGTAATAAGAATAGGCAGGACCCAGCTGGAATAAAGCAAATAAGGACCATGTGTAGGACTTAGAATAGTTTTCTCTGTTGAGAACAGTTTGATAGAGGGATATTGCTGAAAAGTTGTTGCCAATTTTGAATACAATTCAGCAAAATTGTCAGGCCCCAAGAAACCAGCAATGACACGTGGAGTTACTTCTGAGTAGGTTCTTTATTGTTTCTCACCTACAGACAGAATCTTGCCAAACTAAAGCAACTATCTACATAATTGCAGATATGCTCTGAACTGCTAGGTGTCAACTTGCAAAGCTTTCAAGTTGCCATGAGCAGGAGGGAGGGAGAACTGATAGAGCTGATTGATTTCCCTAACTGAAGTGCATTCCATATATTCTTCCTGACCGCAATCAGAAGGAGGGTGTTGGATTTCACAGCCAGCCAAAGTGGTTAATTGGAGAATGTGATTTATGACATGGCCAGAGAGGAGGGGAGAGGCAGGGTCAGAGGGGAACATAAATCCACATGGGATTAGTTCTAACTGCATCCGAATATTGCCGAAATAGTGCTCCTAATAAATGACTGTATTTCTTTTGAAGTTCGGTTCATGGCTCATGAATTAATTAGGGCATCTTTTGGAAACTTCACACTAGGGAGGGACTGTCTTAATCCTCTTCCTACCTACCGGACTATCCAAGCTCTGCTGCCTCTTTGCCCCCTGTTAAGCAGACCCTCCCTCCTGGGACTCCAGTCTATCTTCAACCACAAAATGAATTGTGAAAAAAAGATCCAGCAGCAATTTGTATGCCTGGCATGGAACAACCAGTTGAATACACATATTCCCCTCTTCCTGTATCTAACTTTTGTATGATGAGGTCGTAACATGTTTTTATTGTCCCATGTTTGACCTTGCTTTGTCCTCAATCCCCAGCCTAGTCATCTCTTGCCAACCTTACCAACTGACCATACTTATCAGACAAATACAATAACATGGAACTAAGGAACTGGGGGGGAAAAATGCAAGTATCATCTAATCCAGGGGTATCAAACTTGATTTCATTGAGGGCCGCATCAGGGTTGTATTTGACCTTGGGGGGCCAAGGTGGGTGTGGGTAGCTCAACGTCACTCATGTCGGGGTCGCCTGTGGTGGCCAAAGCACTCTGCCAGTGAAAATGGGCTCCCGAGCTCCATTTTTGGCCTCCTGCAACTGTCTGCCAGTGAAAATGGAGCTCAGGAAGATGGCCCTCCCGAGCTCCATTTTCGCTGGCAGAAACACCATGGGCCGGTCCTTTGCTCTTTCCAGGTTGGCCCTGTGGGCCAGATCTAAGCACCCCATGAGTTGGATCTGGCCTGCGGCCTTGAGTTTGACACCCCTGATCTAGTCCAACCCCTGCTGCAAAGGAAACCAGTTAAGCTAATTAAGTTAACCAGCAACCAAAGATTCAGCTGATTAAGCTACCGCTTCATAAGGTTTACATTCTGGTGCTATGAATATGCCAGGCCAGGAGGACACCTTCGGATCTAACTGCATAGAAACTGCTTCTGCTTGGTGAAAGTATTTTTTTCATGCTTTCGTCTAAGATTCTGTGAAAACACTTGGGATTCTACCGCTCCCCAGATCTGCATTCCTGTCTTTGCTAACTTGCATGGTGCACTTTTTTTTTCCCCCCAGAAGTTTTAATAAAAGGAAACAAAACATTAGGGAGGAAGTATTACTCAGGAATGCTTTGTGTCAAAGAAATGCGTGCATAGATTAGCACTTTGGAAGCCAAACTCTTGAGTCCTTCAAGTTTTCCAACTTCAAACAAAGAGCTTTTCACGATGGGACAGCCCAAATCCAGTTCAATCCTTCCTTAGAAAACTTTCAAGTCCCTGTAGGAAGCCTCCAGGTTTAATCAGAAAGAATTTCAATTCTGAACTAGCCCTCCATAATAAAACATTCCCTCTCTGGTTTCCTGGGAGATACCCCCTCCCATACTTCGCAGGGCTCCAGAGAGGCCAGAAGGGTGTTAATCACATCCCACATTTTGTTGGCAATGATGTTAGGAATGGCTAATGGGCAAGGGAGAAAGGGCAAACCAAAAACATGTTGGCTTGATAACATCAGCTCTGATATAATGTTGAACATTCATCAGTTGAAAGCTGTGCTTGACAGCATACCATAGAGAGCATTTGCCTATAATATCACCCAAAGTTGGACGTGATTGAATGGTTAATACAACAACAAAACATTTTGCTGGAAATCATTTCACACATGCTCCTTGTGAGTCGCTGTAACTCCATTTGTGGCATTTTGCTCATATCATGTAGTGTGTTGTGGCCCAGCAGAGCTGGCAGCAGATTCGGACAGTGAGGAGGTTGGGGAGGAACATGGGCCAGTCCTGGAGTCTGGGAAAAGCTCTGATGAGGGCTCTGCGTCCAAGGCAGAGATGGGGCCAGGGCCGTATGCCAGTTATTAGTTGCCTTCAGAGTCAGACATCAGTGAGGCAGACAAACAGCTGGAGCCTGTTCTCAGCGTGCGCATGCACAGAGTTGCCAGACGAAGGGAACAGCTAAAGAACAAGGGTCGACTAGGGAGTAAGGTCACAGGTGGACGATGAATGGCCCCTCCCAGAGGGAATAAAGAGGAGCAAAAGGGGAGGGGAGTTTGCAGGAGACAATTAGTTCGCCTAATTGGTTTGTGACTCTCCGAGATTCTTTGCCAAGTTTTGAAGATATCGGCCTGGCAGCTCTCCAAGCCAGATAAGGTCTGTGACTGTAAATTCTCCCTTGAAAGACTTTGCTGGATGTGAATGAGAGGAATTCACAGAATAAAAAGGGGGTTTTGTCGGTAGAAAGAATGGAAATGAAATATGAAATATGAAATAGATAAGATAATAAAACATATAAAGGGGGTTTCTTTTTCCCCTTATAGAGGACAATTTACTGTTAAATAATTGGTAAATAAGAATAATAATGTAATAAACTGTTAAATAAGAAAATGTTGGATAGAGGGTTAAGCACAAAAGATTTGTAACCGACCAATACACTTTCTGTAATGGATGATAATTGTTTTATGTTTTAAGTTTTGTTTAAAAATAAAAAAAAATCCCCCCCCCCAAAAGAGGGGGGTTGTCGGGACACGGAGTCTGCTTCATGCTCTTGGGAAGCCTACGTCAGAACATAGTGAGAGATTCTGGAAATGTAAGTGCCACATGTCCTATCTCCCAGGGAGAAGATCCCGTTTTCTTATTATTTCTTGGGGATGCTCTACTGTGAATTGCTAGAATTGTCCTTTGGTGAGTCATACTTTGCCCATCCAAGGTCACCTGAATCTGTAATTCTGAATAAGTTTGTAGATGTCGTCTTTAACGTAGACAGACAGAAGTGCCTGGGTGGGGATACCAAGGTCGTATGTTACACACAACTCCCTATTTCTTACCTTGAAACTTGCTGTTGGGAAGACTGAATTTGAACCACATAGTTTCACCCCGACAATTCGGATTGTTTAGTATAACTTTGAATGAATGAATGAATGAATGAATGAATGAATGAATGCTGCTTTGGCTTGTGGGTCACTCAATCAAGGTTACAGAACATGCAGAAAGACTGAGTAAATACATGTGTTGAAATGGGACTGGATAGCAATTCTGACACAGGTGTGTCACCTGAGGTGAAATCTGTTCCCATCCTTCTGACCTTCAGTAAGGGCCTGAAGATCTGGCTCCGACAGTTGGCTTGGAGGCATATCACGGTGGAAATAGGTTGACAGATTAAGAGAAGATCCCACCTCCCACTGGCGTGTCCTGCTTCCTTCCTTCCCATCTTTTTAATTGTAATCTTTGCTATATTAATTTTTTGTTCTTTAGAGTTTTGCTGGCTTTTATTGTTGGAAGTTGCCCATTGTTTATTTCATAAATTGAAATGTTAAATTAGCCAGAAGACTACTCGTGCACTATCCAGAGTGCACCAAGGGAGTGGACTAGCTCCACACTCAGCAAGGAAGCTGCCCACTTGTATGAAATTAGAAATAACTTGAATGAAATTAGATGCAGAGCAGCATCTAGAGCAGAGGTGGGTTTCAGAAGGTTCGGACCAGTTCTGGAGAACCGGTAGTGGAAATTTTGAATAGTTCGGAGAACCGGTAGTAAAAATTCTGACTGGCCCCGCCCCCATCTATTCTCTGTCTCCCGAGTCCCAGCTGATAAGGGAGGAAATGGGGATTTTGCAGTATCCTTCCCCTGGAGTGGGGAGGGAATGGAGATTTTACAGTATCCTTCTCCTGCTATGCCCACCAAGCCACACCCACAGATCCGGTAGTAAAAATTTTTGAAACCCACCACTGATCTAGAGATGTAGTTGCCCATTTGTGGTTTACAATTTGATATTGCGTCTTAGATCAGACAATGCTGGTAATTGTAACAACAACCAAAACCCCCACGTAACATACTTCTAAGAAATCCAAATGAGGGGGCCCTTGGTGCTCTCTGAGCTTGGTTGTTTTCTTACAGACGTTTCATTACCCAACTAGGCAACATCATCAGTGCCAGTAGATTAGCACTGATGATGTTACCTATTTGCTTTACATCGATTATCTTGTGGGCCTCCTTGCCACAAACCATAAATTTGACTCAGAATAACTTTTTGCGAAATGAGCTTGGGGTGGGCATGCAGCATTTTTATTGGGAAACCAGCGGGTCAGAGGCGAATAAAATGAAATGAAATAAAATAAAAAACCTAGGACAAACGTACTTGCTTCATGGCTGTCACAGGAGTCCATGTCTGGGGAATCCTCTTCGTGTTCATCGGTATCTCCTGACTCGTCGTTATCTTCAATCCATTTACCCGGCATCAGTCCTGCTGAGTCATAGGAGTTACACAGGGGTCCCACAATGTGAGTGATGAAGGATTCCTGGAGTTTTGCTAACTGCGGAGCAGAGCGGTCCATGAAAGGGCTGATGGGGAGACCTAAGCTGGCTTCTTCATCACCCTTGGGAAACAGGAGGCACTCTATTAATCAAAGGCAATTGGGATGATTTCCAGTTCGCTAATGGGGCTAAGCCACCCTTCTCAACCTTCAGGCGTGCTGTGTCTGATATTCCCAGATTTCCAAGATCCAGGAATGCTGGCTAGGAATTCTTGGGAGTTGGAATCCCAGAAGACCTGGCAGCAGCCAGATTGAGGAAGATTATTGTTATATGCATGTGGAAAGTAAATTGCTGCAAGACCAAGCCTCTGTATTCAAAGGACATACTAAACTCCATTCGTTTTAAACTTAGTTAGAATTTCTTTTATGTCTGTGCTTTAGTATGTTCTGCTGGTTTCCTTCTTTGTAATCAAAAGTAAAGGTAAAGGTTCCCCTCGCACATATGTGCTAGTCGTTCCCAACTCTAGGGGGCGGTGCTCATCTTTGTTTCAAAGCCGAAGAGCCAGCGCTGTCCGAAGACGTCTCTGTGGTCATGTGGCCGGCATGACTCAACGCCAAAGGCGTATGTTACCTTCCCACCAAAGGTGGTCCCTATTTTTCTACTTGCATTTTTTTTTTATGTGGTTTCGGACTGCTCGGTTGGCAGAAGCTGGGACAAGTAACGGGAGCTCACCCCGTTATGGAGCACTAGGGATTCGAACTGCTGAACTACCGACCTTTCGATTGACAAGTTCAGCATCTTAGCCACTGAGCCACCGCGTCCTTTTTAATCAAAAGTAATCCTCTGTAAACTTGTTAAGACAGCTTATGGTTCACTATGTTACATAGATCCAGGAAGCAGATTCTCTTAGGAATTGGGCGATGTGTGATAATCTGAACACAATCGTTTCGTTTGGTTCATCTCATTGGTCAGTTTATAGTTCAAAAGATTACATGAACACTGAAAATGGGTTTAATTCAACCCATTGAATTTAGGAGGGTTGTGTGAACAACTGGCTCTCTTGGGTAGCCTTAAATATCTCTTAAGAGTGGAACTGGAAACCAGTCTAAAAAAGAAAGAGACATTAACCAGAGCAACAAATCCACTATATGGTCAAGGTACTTAATAAATGAGTATTTTCTAAAAAAATCTAAGCCATGCTTGCACAACTGGGCTGGTGACAAGGATTTTAAAATGCTAACAACCAACTCTGTTCCTTTTAGCATGCTTTCTGAAAATAGTTTTTTTTTTAAAAAAATAATAATGACCAATAGCTTTTAAAGAAGGTGTGTGTGGGTTTTTGTTTTTTGTTTTTGCATTTTAAAGTTTTGAAAAACATTTGACTATTTAGAAGAATGAATTAAGAGGAACTGATTTACCATGATTTATGGAAATAATTTGCTTTTGTTATTGTGAATTGTCCAGAGCAAAGTCTTTGCCATTCTCAAAAGCTTGGAAAATAAGCTAAAGACTGAAATGATGGGCATTTTTCATAAGGCAGTAAAAAAAAAAAGTCTTTTCATAGCAATTGTTATCTTCTTACCTGTTCATAAAATTCATTCACGATGCCATCTGTCCATTTTAGATGCAAATCTTTGTACTTGGCTGGACCATTGATATCGGCCAGTTTGATGCACATCTGACAGACCAATAATCGGTCGTTTTCGTTTGTCCAATCGATGCCCGCATCGTCGTTCACCTGGCAGGTAACGTGTTATTAGAAAAAGCACCTTGAGACTGTTGTGATCGAACATAACATAATGCAATTCCAAAGGTGAACATGATGTATACTGCACAAGAACCCTTTCCTAGGTAGGGATTATTATTTGGGTGCATTTCCTTGGTTTGCCACTATAGCAAATGGAATGGAATGGAATGGAATGGAATGGAATGGAATGGAATGGAATGGAATGGAATGGAATAGAATAGAATAGAATAGAATAGAATAGAATAGAATAGAATAGAATAGAATTTTTTATTGGCCAAGTGTGATTGGACACACAAGGAATTCGTCTTTGGTGCATTGCATAGCATAGCATAGCATAGCATAGCATAGCATAGCATAGCATAGCATAGCATAGCATAGCATAGCATAGCATAGCATAGCATAGCATAGCATAGCATAGCATAGAATAGAATTCTTTATTGGCCAAGTGTGATTGGACATACACAAGGAATTTGTCTTGGTGCATATGCTCTCAGTGTACATAAAAGAAAAGATACGTTCATCAAGAATCATAAGGTACAACACTTAATGATAGTCACAGGGTACATATAAGCAATCAGGAAACAACATCGATATAAATCGTAAGGATACAAGCAACAAAGTTACAGTCATACAGTCATAAGTGGGAGGAGATGGGTGGTGGGAACGATGAGAAGATTAATAATAGTGCAGACTTAGTAAATAGTTTGACAGTGTTGGGGGAATTATTTGTTTAGCAGAATGATGGCGTTCTGGAAAAAACTGTTCTTGTACAGTTTTTAAACAGTTTTTATACAGGTTTATCACTATCATCTTTTTTTTAAATAAACTTCTCGATCTAGCTTCAAGCCCTAGCGATTTCTGGTCTTCCTCCCATACATGTATTAATCAGATCTGATTCTGCTTTGGTTCTGTTGTGGGTGGGTGCTCCATCACTGACTTTTAAGAAGAGACTGGACAGCCATTTATCTGGAACGGTATAGGGCAGGGGTGTCAAACTGGATTTCTTTGAGGGCCAGATCAGCATTGTAGTTCTTCTCCACGAGCTGGGGTGGTGGGGAAGGGAGGAAGATGGGATGGACGTCTCCTGCAGCACCCTGCTGGCCAAAACGGGGTATGGGGGGTCCCGAATGTGGCCTTGTCTGCTCCACTTTTGGCCCGAACGGCCTCCTGCAACACTTTGCCAGCCAAAAAGGGGCCTCCATGGCCTCCTGCAGCACTCTGCTTGTGAAAAACGAGGCCTCCACATGGCCAACAGAGCCCGTTTTTGGCCAGCAGTGCTGCTAGAAGCCAGTGAGGCCAGAAACGGGCTGCATGGGGGCTACATGCGCCCCCCCCCCGGAAGCCCGTTTTGGCCTGCAGAGGCACCACGGACCGGTCCTTTGATATTTCCAGGCCGGCCCCATTGGCCAGATTTAAGCACCTCACAGGCCTTGAGTTTGACACCCCTGGTATAGGGTCTCTTGCTTCAGCAGGGGGTTGGACTAGAAGACCTCTAAGGTCACTTCCAATTCTGTTATTGTTGTGGTCCGTCAGCGGCCTGTGCAGATTGTAGCTGATTCCGACAACGAGGAGGCTGGTGTGGTGCTCCGTCAGCAGCCTGTGCAGCTGGTGCTCGAGTCGGACAGTGAGGAGGCTGTAGAAGATGTGGTGCTAAAGGCAGGGATTCAGTCAGGGCCTTCAGAACCTCCAGAAGATCCTTTAAGTGAAGAGGACGAAGAGGAGGAGCCACTTCTCAATGCACGGGCATGCAGAGCTGCCAAAAGGCAGAAGTGGCTCCTCAGGAGGAGGTCTCCTCGAGAGTAAAGTTTGGGGCTAATTGGCCACTCCCTTAGCCTATTTAAGGAGGAACACCGCTTGCAACAAGCTGTAGAGAACAACTTTAGTTCACTCTCCTTCGTGTCTGCAAAATTGCTCCTGGGCTTTCTGCCAACTCTAGTAAAACTGTGATTACCTTATCTTAGAATTCTGGTAGGCTGTTAAGACAGTTTATTAACAGCCTTTGAATGATAAAGACTAAGTTATTTGAGTAAAATAAGCTTTGTATAGAGTTTGTGTGTGCTGCATTCTTTGGGGTCCGTAGCTGGGGCAGAACAGTTATTCTCTCATTCTGTTATCCCAGGGTTCTGCAACCTTAAGCACTCAGAGCCATTTGGACCCGTTTCCCAGAGAAAAGAAAACACCGGGAGCCACAAAACCCTTCCCGTGCCTGACTATTTCTTGAGCGTCCACAAAACTAGCATATGTAGTTGAATTAAACCTTCTGCTTTTGTCTGAAACTTTTCTTTTCTTGGATTTATCCATGGTTGGCCTACTGGGGGTTGAAAACCTCAATAAATCACGTGCCAGCAGGTGTCACACATAGGCAGTTGTGATGCATATTTTGAGTGACAGGGAACCACAGCAGGAGTGAAAGAGCCACATGCGGCTCCAGAGCCGCAGGTTGCTGACCCCTGTGTTATCCGAATCACACTTCTTCAGCTTCTTTATAGAACAGGATAGTCTTACACTAGATAATAACATTATTCTTTTATCTGTAATCTTCTTGGTTCAGCTCCTTTCTGATATGACTTGGTGGAAGGAAGAAAGAGCACTTTATCTACCAAGGAGTCTGCTGGAGAAAGGCTAGCTCCAGGAAAATCCTAATATCAGCCTACCGCAGTAGTAGAATTTGACTGACTTTCTTTGCTGATTTTCTAGGCTCCTATATGAAGATTTGAACCTTAATAAGACACAGGGATTGTGTTTACCTTGGCATTGAATTTAGCTACAAAATCAAAGTGCTTCTTCAGATCAGTGGCCAAAATGGCCTCGATGACAAGGAACCGGAAATGCTTGAACTCCACATGATCAAGATGGATTAAAAAATTATATTCTGGCCTGGACATGAAAAGATTCCATGCAGCCGCCGCATGATGGTTCTCCAGAACAGACCGGTCATTATAGAGAACGGCCTACATACACAGAGAGATGGAGAGAATATTTATTTCCAAAAGATCTGAGAGATGGCAGGTCTGCTGAAACTAAATAAATGATATGCATTCCCCAAGTTAACCACATTTGCATAAAAGGGAATTTGCTTTAGAACTTATTTTAAAAAACCCCAACAGAATAGAATGTTGGTGGAAACTCTCAAGAGTGAACAATAGTGATCGTGTAATACTTATTTAATGATGAGGCCAATGTTTTGCATGTGAACATTTGGTCTTTTACTGAACAATTATGTCCCTAGTGATCTGCAAGTCTCTGGCTTCCCACATTGCTATTACATCCCAAAGGGGAGCATCCGATTTTGTTCTAGAATTTTAAATGCTTTAAAAATGATATATATGTCATATAAATATGTTTATTTTATTTTTATTTTTATTTATTAAATTTATATACCGCCCTACTCCCGAAGGACTCAGGGCAGTGAACAGCCAAAAGATAAAACACACATAATACAAAATTTAAAAACAATATAAAAGCCCATTAAATAATTTGGCCCAAACACTTTAAAACACCCCTATTATTTTAAATTTTTTTTAAAATTAACAATTAAAAAGGAGGCTAGGCCAGGCCAGCCTGTTGAAATAAAAAGGTCTTGAGGGCACGGTGGAAAGTGCGTAAGTCCGGGATCCTCCGTATCTCCGGGGGGAGCTCGTTCCAGATGGCAGGTGCCCCCACAGAGAAGGGTCTCCCTCTGGGGGCTGCCAGTCGACACTGTTTGGCTGACGGCACCTTGAGGAGCCCCTCTCTATGGGAGCATACTGGCCGGTGAGAGGCTACTGGTGGCAGAAGGCGGTCTCATAGGTGTATAACTAGTAGAATGTTTGGTATATGAATATCTAAACCAGGGGTGTCCAACCTTGGCATCTTTAAGACCTGTGGACCTTAACTCCCAGAATTCCATGCTGGCTGGGGAATTCTGGGAGTTGAAGTCCACAAGTCTTAAAGTTGCCGAGGTTGGACACCCCCAGTGGTGGGATTCAATCGGTTTGGGCCGGTTCAAGTGAATCAGTAGTTAAATTGCTGGCTGGCCCTGTCCCGCCCCTTCCAGGAGTCCCCATGTGCCCCATTTTGGCTCCCAGGTAAGTGCAGGGAGGCCTCCTAGGCCCAAAACAGGGCACGGTGTGTGTGTGCGCAGTGCCCCCCGCCCCCGTGGCCCATTTTCGCTCCCAGGAGACTTCAGGGAGGCCTCCTAGGCCCAAATTGGGGCACAGGAAGGGGCGGCACGGCCCCCCACAGCCCATTTTTGCTCCCAGGAGGCTGAAGGAAGGCCTCCTAGGCCCAAAATGGGGCACAGGGGTGGGTGGAGGTGGCACGTCCCCCTCGGCCTGTTTTTGCTGCCAGGGGAGTTGCAGGAGGCTGAGTGCTGCCTGTCACACCACCTGGCCACACCCACTATGGCCACACCCACCCAGCCAATCATTAGGGCAGAGAACCGGTTGTTAAATTATTTGAATCCTACCACTGGACACCCCTGATCTAAGCAAACATACACCCAACCTCCTCCCACCGTGCAATTGTGGAGGTAATCCTGCCTCTAAAAAATTGTTGGACTATTTCTTTCTTCTAGAGAAATCACCATTCAATTTCTCTGTCCACAAAACAGGTGGAGAATCTAGTCCCAGGATAGCAGCAGATGGCTTTAAGCTCATGGAGAGCTACGTAAAGGCAGTCCATACTTAACTGATGTAATTGTCATGTGATCATGCCACTTAGTTCCAGCTGCCATTGTTAAGTGAATTCCACATGGTCATTAAAGCAAGAATGTGGTCACCATTTGAGACTGCCTACCAGGTCCCTACTGTCTTTGTTTGTTGGAAGCCAGTGGTGAAGTTTGTAAATGGCGATCACGTGACTGCAGCATGCTGTGATGTCATAATTGTGAGCCAGTCACCAAGTTCCCAAATTGCAACCATTTGATCTTAGGGTCAGCCTCAACTATGAGGACTGGTCAGGTCTCACCCATTCAGCACCGTTGTAACTGCAAATAGTTGCTGAGTGAGTGGTCATTAAGAAAGGACTACCTGAATATGATCTGGACTTCAACTCCCAGAATTCCCCATCCATACATGACAATTTTAAGAGTTGTGGACTTCAACTCCCAGAATTCCCCATCCATACTTGGCAACTTTAAGAGTTGTGGACTGTTCAAGTGATGCTGGCTTGGGAATTCTGGGAGTTGAAGTCCACAACACTTAAAGTTGCCAAGTTTGGAGATCCCTGCCCTAGAATAAAATTTAGTAGTCTGAAAAAAGCATTACAAGGTTCTTTCTAAGCAAGGTGTTCCCTTAATCCCAGCCTACTTACCTGAGGAGCACTGGTTGCCACCAAGAAGGCATTAGTTCTCCCTGGATGATCATAGTCATGCATGGCAGCAGCTACATACAGGGCCATCAATTCAAGTGATGGGATGTTGCCCGCCAAGCACCCATAGTTGTCATCTGTTGGCGTGTACGTTTTTGACAATACGTATCCCAGGTGGCCGTGAGTGATCCCACTATCTGAATCTGGGCAGAAAATCAGGTTATTCACAGACTGCTCCTTACAGAGGCAATATTTCTCTGTTCTGTTTTGGGCCCACTAGCCTGGCTTAATCAAACATCCCATTTTACAAGGGGTCTAGTACAGGTGTGTCAAAACGGTGGCCCATGGGCTGGATGCGTCACGCACAGGCCACGCCCCGCAGGTCCACAAAGGCAAAAAGGTCGTGATACATCGCGATACGATTGAGTTCGATACCTGTGATCTAGTAAGTCATCTCTAGAACTATGACTAAATAACTCCTTCTATCGCCATCACCAAAGAGACACTTCCCACAGAACCAAATTTAGTCGTTCTACTGGCTTGAGGTCATGTTGTGGCCCACCAGCGGCCTGCACTGATTGTGGCTGATCCTGACGACAAGGAGGCTGGTGTGGTGTCACGCCAGCAGCCTGTGCAGCCGGCGCTCGAGTGGGACAGCGAGGAGGCTGAAGAGGATGTGGTGCCAGAGGCAGAGACTCAGCCAGGGCCTTCAGAACCTCCAGAGGCTCCTTCAAGTGAAGAGAGTGAAGTGGAGGAGCCTCTTCTCAATGCTCGAGCACGCAGGGCTGCCAAAAGGCAGGAGTGGCTACTCAGGAGGAGGTCTCCTCGAGAGTAAGGCTTGGGGCTAATTGGCCACTCCCTTAGCCTATTTAAGTTCGCACACAGCTGGCACATGTTGCTGGAAACAACGCTTGGTCCTACGCAGAGCATTTTGAGAGTGAGCTTTTTGTTACAACTTGGTTTCTGGGCTGATTGCCAACCCTTGTCGGATTTTGTTTAATCTCTGTAATTCACAGCAGGCTGATAAGGACCTTTGTGGTTAAAGCTTGCATTTTGAAAGGGGTCTGTTTGTATTAAACGGAGATTTTGGAGCTGTGTGTGTGCTACACTTCTTGAGACTCGTAGCTGGGGCAGAACAGGTCAACAGCATGGGCTTTGTGCAGCAAATTGTGGCAGGGGTGAAATCTACTTACCTTCCCTACCAGTTCGGAAGTGCACACGGCACGCTTGCGTGCTCGCTCTGTTCTCACATCACATGCACGCACGGACCTTCTGCGCATGAGCAAACCCTTCTGCACATGCGCAGAGGGTAAAAAACAGGTTACTTCCTGGTTAAAACTAGGAAGTAATGATGACTGGGCGGAGCCTCGTTTTGCCATCGCTACCGGTTCGGCTGAACCGGTCCAAACCGGTAGTATTTCACCTCTGAATTATGGACCGTGTTCCACACACAGGACTCACAACTGGGGATTAGGAGTGAAACGTGCGCTCTTAAAATCTCTGTATCTCCCCTAAAATCTTTTGGCTGTTTACTATTGGAAGCACTGTTTCAAAAGGTGTGTTCGGTACACTGCCTGTTCGGTCTAATTCACGCTGAAGATACAGCCATTACAGAAGTGTCGCCATTCTGACATTCACCCGCCCCACTATCATGTGATCGCACTTCAGATGCTGGGCAACATTTATGGACATTTGCAGCAGTGGTGAAATCCAAATTTTTTTACTACCGGTTCTGTGGGAGTGGCTTGGTGGGTATGGCAGGGGAAGGATACTGCAAAATCCCCATTCCCACCCCGCTCCAGGAGAAGGATATTGCAAAATCTCCATTCCCACCCCACTTTGGGGCCAGCCAGAGGTGGTATTTGCTGGTTCTCTGAAGTGCTCAAAATTTCCACTACTGGTTCTCCGAATTACTCAAAATTTCTGCTACCGGTTCTCAAGAACCTGTCAGAACCTGCTGGATTTCACCCCTGATTTGCAGTGTCCCATGATTGCATTTTATGCTTTTCCATCCTTCTGGTTTTCAGCAAAACTGCACCCATAGTGAATAATGGGTTTGCACTTATGATGACCAGGCATTCATGTTTACAACTGCCACCCCAAAAAAAAAAAAAAATCATATTTTTTTCACAACTATGCGCGAGCTGCACTGGTTACCGGTGGCCCTTCGGATCCGCTTCAAGGTGCTGGTCTTGACCTATAAAGCCCTACATGGCATGGGCCCAGGGTACTTGCAGGACCACCTCCTACCGGCCTCCCACCACTCAGTGTGGTCACATAGGACTGCCCTCCTCTGGGTGCCATCGGCCAGACAATGTTGGCTGGTGGCCGCCAGGATGAGGGCGTTCTCGGTGGCCGCACCAACCCTCTGGAATGAATTACCCACTGGGCTTCGGATGGCCCCCGACCTCCGTGCTTTCCGCGCCGAACTGAAGACATGGCTTTTTCAGCAAATTCCCTGATCTGTTATGAGATTTTAGTTGTCGGGGTTTTTACATTTGGATGTTTTTAGTTTTATTTATTGTTATATGTTTTTTATTCTGTGAGCCGCCCCGAGTCCTACGGGAGAAGGGCGGCATAGAAATCGAAGAAATAAAATAAATAATAAATAAATAAATAAACCATCATGTCATATGACCATAATGAGTAGGCTCCATTATGGTTGTAAGTTGAGGACTATCTGTAACAACACTGCCCCAAGAAATTCAGTTCATGGCAGCCAGACCTTTTCGTAACATTACCTGAATCACTTGCTGATCCATGGTCATTAATCATAGTTGGGAGGCCAGGGATGGGCTGGGATGAAAGGTACCAGACAGCATGGAGGACATCAGTAGCATGAGTTCTGTTATGATCTGTTAAGAGAGAGAGGTTTGTTGCATTTGAGAGTGGATTTGGGGGGTAACAGCACCATCTACTGGCCACAGATGAAAATGTGGATTTATTCCTGGTTCCCACCTTTGAGAACCAGTCAAATGATATTCATAGCAATGTTAAAATTCCTCTATGACATTCTAACATTGGGATGCTCTGTTGTATTGATTGACACCAAAACTCTGTCCCATTCAGTAGAGTTTGGCAAACATTTATTGATTAGAACATTCAGGGGGGAAAAAAAATCCCATTCTTGAATTGTGGCTTTATTTATTAGTATTTTCTCTCATATATATATGGGGAAAAATACTAATAAAGCCACAGTTCAGTGTGTGTATGTGTGTGTGTATTACTGGATTTGCTGTTTTACTCACTTTTAATTATTTTGTTTTCTTGTTATGCTCTTATGAAACACATATTGACAGAGAAATGATTATGTGACTTTCAAGGATTTTAGTTAAAAGTTCAAATAAAAGGTGATTTAAAAAAAAATCACAGCTACCATCTGCTACCAGATTTTTAGAAGATAGATGAAGACTTTCTTATTCAGGAAAGTAAGTTTTCACTGATGAATTACAAAAATGTCCCCCTTTCTAACTGGATTATTTAAAAATGTGATTGCACTATGTATTGTACAGATTTCGTTTTAATAATAGCCAGCGGTTTTATTTTTAAAAAAATATGCTTGGAAGTAATCTTCTGTGGACATTGAAGGAAAACAAGTGTGGGCTATGATTAAAAAAAATAATAAGAGAAATGGAGAATAAGAGAATCAGCAAGGCATGCTATTGTACTTACAAGGTATCTCTCGATATCCACATTCTAAGGCATGGAAATAGTTCATAAACTCTGGTATAGGGATTTTGAAAGTTTCAAAGAGACCCATGTCCTCAAAGAGCCTATAGGATACCTGGAAAACAAAATAAAGGAAAGGAAAAGGAACCATCATTCTTAGAACTTGGGGTTGGCTATTGTTGATAGGTCAATCTAGAACTTCAGACTATCATCATCAACATCATTTAACGATCCCATAATCCCTTGCGAGGTGGAGTCTGGGCAACTGAATGGAGCTAGCAGAGTGTTTTAATGGCCAGATGCCCTTCCTGTCACCAATGCAGAGTTTTGTTCAGCAGATATATTCTCAGTGTGCCCAGAGAGAGAAAAATCTGCCTCTACCTAGGATCGAACTCACAGCCTCCTGATTGTGAGGCGAGAGCTCTACCTCTAGGCCACTGCACCACTCCTAGATCTTCAGACTAACTCCAAGTTTAAATCAGCTGTAGGAGATGGCCAGGCTGAGCCGGATGGAGGGATCAAGTATATCATCAGTCTTGAGTCCCTTCGCACCAACAAGAAATCTAAGACCAGCCCATCTTGAATGGACTCTTATCTACCATCAATTTTCTTTCATCGTTAGTAGCTCAGTAGTTAGTAGTTCAAAATCTTGTAGAGAGTGTTAGCATGCAATAAACCTGTAGTCACTTAAAACTCCCTTGCTTCCCAATTTCTTGCGTCTGACACAAGCCTTTGCTCCATTTAGGAATAGTATTTGCTCTGTGTTCTATCTATAAAAGTTCTGGTGGAAACTTTGTTCAATTTAGGGAAGACAAACAATTGATGCTTGCAATTATATATGCACAGTCCATACCTCGACTTACAGCCATTTGTCTGGCAAGTTTTCAAAGTTACAGTGGCACTGAAAAAAAGGGACTCACAATGAGTCCTCACTCTTACAACGATCACAGCATCCATTCATTATCACCTACAGTATTCAAAATTTGGGTGCTTGGCAACCGGCACGGTTGAAGTGTCCTGGAATCACGTAATCGCCGTTTGTGACCTTCCCAGCCGGCTTCCAACGATCAATATCGATGGTGGAAGCTAGATTCACTTAATGACTGCATAGGTCACTTAACAACTGCAGGGATACTCTTAACCACCATGGCATAAAAAAAAAAAGTTTGTAAAATTGGATGTGACTCGCTTAACAACTGCCTTGCTCATCAATGAAAATTCTGGGCCCAATTGCGGTTGTTAAGTTTAGGACTCCCTCTGGGCAGAACCATACCAGTTTGGGTTCTAGGCTTACTCCCCTGATGGAATAAATAAAAGATGGTTCACAGCAGTGGTGGGTTCCTCCCAGTTCGGTCCGGTTCGGCTGAGCCGGTAGCGGTGACGATATGACGTCACCGAACCGGTTCTCCCCCCGCCCTCCCCCCCCGTTATTCTTACCTTTTATTTGGTCCCACCCCCAATCTATTGCTGCCTCCTGAGTCCCAGCTGATGACTAGAGGGAAAAAAAATTGTTTAAACTCTTGCCGCGGGGCTTCAAAGGGCCGTCCTACAGCTGATCAGTGTTAAAAGCAAACAAATGAGTCGGGTCGTAAGTGCGAGGACTGGTCGTAAGTGCGAGGACCTTCCAGAAATGACTCTGACCAGCTAGCCATGCCCACCTAGTCACATGACCTCCAAGCCACACCCACAAAATAAGCCACGCTCATAGAACCGGTAGTAAAAAAATTTAGAACCCACCCCTGGTTCACAGTTAAATTTAACAGATTTAAATAATTTAAAACAATTGAACAGATAAAAATGGTTTCACAGGCCATATCTCCCTTGCTATAGTTGGCCAGAGACAAACTGTACAGGTAGTCCTCGAATTACAGCAGTTTATTTAGTGACCATTCAAAGGTACAACGGCACTGAAAAAAGTGACTTATGACCGTTTTTCCACACTTATGACCATTGCAGCGTCCCCTGCAATGGCCATGCCATTGACATTTAGATGCTTGACAACCGACTCACATTTACGACAGTTGCAGTGTCCCGGGGTTATGTGATCCCCTTTTGCGACCTTCTGAAAAGGACAGCCAATGGGGAAGCCCCATTCACTTAACAACCGTATTCCTAATTTTTTTTTTTTTTTTTTAAATTTGATTTATATGCCGCCCTTCTCCGGAGACTCAGGGCGGCTTACAATGCGTTAAGCAATAGCCTTCATACTTTTGTATATATTTATACAAAGTCAGCTTATTGCCCCCACAAACTGGGTCCTCAATTTACCTACCTTAGAAAGGATGGAAGGCTGAGTCAACCTTGAACCAATTTATTGGTTCACTTAACAAATGTGACGAGAAAAGTTGTGAAATGAAGGCAAACTCGCCTAACAAATTTCTCACTTAACAACATAAATTTTGGGCCCAATGGTGGTCGTAAGTTGAGGACTACCTGTACGAAACCTTATGTCTGGGCTTTGTTTTGGGACGATATACAGCAACGCACAAACCTTGTTTTGTGGTTTGTAAAATGGGCTTGATAACAGGATGGACAACTTGTGACTGCAAGTGGTCCACAAATCTTAAACTAACTTGTCTCTCTTGAGAGGTCCAGAATCTTATTCGTTTATATCCCACTTTTATTATTTTTACAAATAACTGAAGGCAGCGAACATATCCAACGCATCTTCCTCCTCCTATCTTCCCTATAACAACAACAACCCTGTGAGGAGGCTTGGGCTGGGACAGTGTGACTGGCTCATGGTCATCCAGCTGGCTTTTGTGGCTAAGGTGGGACTTGAACTCGCAGTCCCTTGCTTTCTAGCCTGGTGCCTTAACCACTAGACCAAACTGCCTCTCACTCTCTCTGAGGATCTTGCAGCTTGTACTTTCCTACCCGAGATCTCATCTGGAATATAAATGTCCCACCAGGTTTGATGATTGCGTGATTTTTGAACTATTATTGGATCAAATAAGGGATCATGAGCCACGGTGGCACAGTGGTTAGAGTGCAGTACTGCAGGCTACTTCTGCTGACTGCCGGCTGCCTGTAATTTGGCAGTTCGAATCTCACCAGGCTCAAGGCTGACTCAGCCTTCCATCCTTCCGAGTTTGGTAAAATGAGGACCCAGATTGTTGGGGGCAATAGGCTGACTCTGTAAACCGCTTAGAGAGGGCTGTAAAGCACTATGAAGTGTTATATACCGTATTTTTCAGAGTATAAGACGCACCTACCTTTTTTGGTGAGGAAAACTAGAAAAAGAAATCTGCCTCTGCCTCCCAGCAATTTTGCCTCGTTGCAGCAAACAGTAAATAGCCTGCTTTACTTTCATTTTCGTTGATTGATTAGCACAAGATTAGCACAAGAAAAAAAAAAATCTGCTCCCAGCAATTTACCTCCTTGCAGCAAGCAGCAGACGCCCACGCAAAACAGCTGAGAGTCGGGAGGCTGATCCAATCAACTTGTGCTAATTAGGCTGTGCTGAAGCTGAAACAAGCTGTTTCTTCTTGCTGCTTGCTGCAAGGAGGTAAACTTCTGGGAGGTAGAGGCCAAAGGGTGGGGGCCAGTGTGTGGGTGGGGCTACATTCGGTGTATAAGACGCCCCTAAATTTTCACCCCCTTTTAGGGGGTGGAAAAGTGCTTCTTATACGGTAAGTCTAAGTGCAATTGCTATTGCTATCAGCTGCAGCACACCAAATATTGCTGATGGGCTGCAGCTGATGCCCACGATCTGATTTCTTGATTAAGGTTGTTGGCTTCCTCCGGGTCAAGCAAATTTCCTAGGGAACTAAGCCGAACAAATCACCCACCTGTCATTACCAAGTTCGTATCTGCAGGCTACCACCTAGTAGCCTCATTCTAGTTGACTTTCCTAGAATCTGGAAACCCGCTGGCCGAGAAGCTGCTATTTTCTCTTGTTTTGCGAAAAGGTGCAGTGAAATTTAACTTTATTTTTAAACGGAAGTCTGGCTTTAATCTTTCTAGTGGCAGCCTTCCATTCTATCCCCTCTTTTTCTCGGCGAAACTTGTTATATCCCTCCAGGGGCATTATTAGGCTAACAGTAAGTGAAAATTAAGGCATTATCTAAGCACACAGCTTGTCATCAAGCAGAACGAAGCTTCCTACTCACCATTTTTGCATGAAAAAAGAAAATTCTTTTTGCACATTGGCCTGTGCTAGAGCCAAAGGTTTCCCGTGGTAGTGCGTGGGCTATTTTCTTTTCAAAACCAATTCGAAACCACCGTTTTAGAAAGAGCCTAATAGCGCCTTTTCCGACTAACACATTTTAGTTGGAAATTTTTTTATCACCTTTGAATAAAATGTGTCGGTTAGAAAAGGTGCTTATCTCATTCCTCATTTCTGCTACCATAAACTGGCAAGTCTCTTCTTCTCCAGTGTTAATAACCTCTATAGCACCGGTCATCAAAATTTTGGTGGTCCCCAGAAAAATTATTTGCATTTTTTTATATTGCACTAAATCAGGGGTCCTCAAACTATGGCCTCTGGGCTAGATATGTGCAATGAACATTTGTACTGCTGCAGAGAGTCTCTCTCTTCGGGGTCTTTTTGTGTGAGTTGGAGGGGGGCATAAATTCCGACTTGGGGTCTACTTTAGCCTCCTGGTGTGGGGCTTTGGCCGAAAGCTGGAGGGAAGCGCTGCTGGTGGTGAAGAGCCAAAGGACCTTGTTCCAGTGGGACTGCATTACGGCCTGGAACTGGCTGACCAACTCAGCCCACTGAGCCTCCAGGGGCCGGTACCTGGCCTTGCACTCCCGCAGGTCTTCCCTCTGCTTGGAAAGCCTATGCTCGTAGTCCTGAGTGAGGTCTTCTGCTGAGCCTCCTTCTCGGTCAGATCCAATTTGAACTGAGCTGTTTTGCCAACTCTTTTTTCATGGTGGCTGTTTAGCTCCAGCAACTACTTCCTGTTGGGGCTCTAAGGAGCCCGGGCGGGCAGGTGAAGAGTAGCGAGTAGAGGCTGGCAAGGCGCCCCTCAATGTGAGTGACATCGAGTTGGCCACGCCCACCCAGTCACATGACCACCTTGCCACGCCCACCCAGCTGGTCATTAGGTAGATCATATTAGTGGTCTGTGGGATTTAAAATTATGGATTTAGTGGTCCCTGAGGTTCGAAAGGTTGGTGACCCCTGCTCTATAGCTTTCTTTACAAAATATATTTTGTTTCTCAAAATCCTTCTACAAGGCCCGGATGTACTTCTTGGCGTTTGGGTAATGCTTATTTCCTAACCTTGAATCGGCTAGGTCTATTTTTTCCTTCCTGGCATATAGCAATAGAAACCTAGCACCTGAGTTCGTAACCTATGACTCAGCTAGGATTTTAACCATGGCTTCTCAGAGGAGCCACACTGGCTGGGTTCGTACGAATCAGAAAGCCGTAATATTTGATGCCCACATAACGCTAGAACAGAAAGAAATACATCTTTGCATTCGAATAGCTCTGGAATGGAATCGGGATTAGAACTCGAGAAGGATGCATTAGAAAAAGCAGAACTCTGAGGTAACTCTTCTAGAACATCCAATTTCTTACCTGGCTTAAAATCCGACCCCATCTCTTGCCGATTTTGTCTACCAAATCAAAGATTGGGAAATTCCAATTGTTTAGTTGCTCCATTAGTGGGTCCAAATTGTCCATTATTAGAGGCTTGGGGGCAAGGATAGGTTTTTCCTGTAACAGATAACCAATAAACACATCCCAAATGTTAAAAAAACAACAACAACAGAGTCCCTAGGGAGTTGGGCGGCATAGAAATGCGACAAATAAATAAATAAACAAACAAACAAACAAACAAAACAAACAAACAAACAAACAACAACCCTGTACAAAATGTAGGATTCTTTGGACTTTTCAGTGTCCTTATTCCAAAGCTTCCATCTTGGGTTAGAGGTATCCAAGGAGGTATATATGCAAGATTTAGGAAAGTTGTCAACCTCTTCCAATCAATTAGATAAACACTTCCTAATCAGTGTCCCAAGCTGTTAAGATATTTTAATAGCAAACCAGATGGGGGAAATTGAAATGAAATGAATTTCAACTAATGGGAAAAGCAACCTTTACAAAAAAAAAAAAAAAAGAGAGAACCAAAAGAATGTTGATCCAGCTCTCGAAGATTTTCAAGGTAACCATTTCCTGAGCAGGCTAAACTCAGAAGATTCCTAGTTCTAAACTGGTTTTCCTTACATATGAAACTGGAAAGTATGGTATAATCTCAGTTTACAAAGCAAGAATTGAAAGCAACAGCTGATTTGACAGAGGCAATATCAAGCTTCTTGATATTACCTCTGGGTAACAGAATAACCGAGTTGGAAGTTACCTTGCAAGTCTTCTAGTCCAACCCTTTGCTTAGACAGGAAGTCTTATATCCGTGATGGCGAATCTATGGCACGCGTGTCACAGGTGGCACATGGAGCCATGTCTGTGAGCACACGAGCGTTGCCCTAGCTCAGCTCCAGCGTGCATGCTCGCGCCGGCCAGCTGATTTTCGGGCCTTCCGGGCCCACCGGAAGTCAGGGAATGGGTCGTTTCCAGTTTTTTTTGGGGGGGGGCTGTTTTTGCCCTCCCCATGCTCTAAGAAAGCCTCTGGAGTCTGGGGAGAGTGAAAAACGGGCCTTTCGGTCCCACTGGAAGTCAGGAAATGAGTTGTTTCCGGCCTCTGGAGGGCCTGGGTGTGTGTGTGTGGAGGCATTGAATTATGGGTGTGGCTACATGCTTAACCCACTGTTAATTCCCCAAAGATTTTCAACATATACTGTAGTTCTTTGATGTCAGTGTCTTGTCCTTTGAATTTTTTGAGCAGACACTAAGTTGGCTCCACAAAAGAAGACAATTCATTAGGAAAGGGGAAAACTTGTAAAAAAGAGAACCACAAAAACCAAATTGCCCAAAGGAACTTGGGCAATTTTGGGCTCCACCCAACAGATCCAGGTAGAAAAGGAGAAGACCTGGTAGGATTTGAGAGGACTTTGAGAGGTCAGGTAAACAGAAGATGTTTTGGCCTTGTAGAGTGCTGTTGGAACACAATCTGCAGAGGAATTCTTTGTGCATAAGTTGGGCAAAACCAAGAAGTTTTGCGTAGTTATAAAGAAAAAAAAAACAGTAGCTGGCAGGACCACCCTGGAGTAAGAGTTATTGCTGCTTGGCAGGGGATGTTACTGTTGTTATTCTGAATTCAAACTGGGTTGGAAAGTGGATGGTTGAGAGCAGTGGCAAATTCCAAATTTTTTAACTACTGGTTCTGTGGGCGTGGCTTGGTGGGCGTGGCAGGGGAAGGATACTGCAAAATCTCCATTCCTGCCCCATTCTGAGGCCAGCCAGAGGTGGTATTTGCCGGTCCTCCGAACTGCTCAAAATTTCCGCTACCGGTTCTCCAGAACCTGTCAGAACCTGCTGGATTTCACCCCTGATTGAGAGACAAACTCTCTATTTTGAATTCCTAAGTTCCCTTGGGAATGCTGCAGACCTTCAGTATGGCCTCCAGAAATCTCCCAATTCTCCAAATAATCACCTTCAATGCGAAAATGAAAAATTATGACATGTTGGAGAAGACAGGGAGCAACAGTACATTTCAAATATCAAAAGATTTATAATCAAAGCATCCTTCTCTGAAGGCAGTACAAGGTGGGGGGGGGGGGTTTGAGCTTCATATGAATTGTTCTAACCTTCTCAAATTCTTCTCATGTTCTTCTCATTGAAGCGTTCTAAGCTTCAGGCTCTTTTAGATTGGCCATTTTTGGGTAAGGGGGGAATAGCTGTTTTGAACTCAAAATTGAGTTTTTGTTATGTATACATTCCAAATGTTTTGCCGACCATGATGAATGAATATTCAAACATATATTTAATGCATAACGTAGCTAGGTATAGTCTGACAGACAGTCTTCAGCAGGGGTGAAATCTAAAATTTGTTACTACGGGTTCTGTGGGCGTGGCTTGGTGGGGGGGGGTTTAATGTGACTGGTGGGCGTGGCCAACTTTTTTTTTTTTTAACTTTTAAAAGCATTTTTTCTACAACCTTAAGCGGTTGCAGGAAAAAATGCTTTTAGAAGCCTCTGACGATCAAGCAACTCAGCTGGGATCGCCAAAGGCTTTTAAAAGCATTTTTTCCCCCTACAACCTCTTCGGACGAAGAGGTTGCAGAAAAAAATGCTTTTAAAAATTAAAAAAACAGCCCCTGATGATCACGCAGCTGAGCTGGGCATGGAGGGTGGATGCAGGGATTTTCGCTACCGGTTCTCCGAATCACCCGCCGCCATCGCTACCGGATCGGGCGATCCAGTCCGAACCGGGAGCATTTCACCCTGGTCTTCAGGCTCCAGAAGATGATTGGAGGTTCAAATAATAAGGAATTCATTTTAGATCTATTTCAAGGGATGTCTATGGAGATTCTCAGTCATCCAGATCATAGTTGTTCCAAAGGTGCTTTTACAAGAAGCAAATGGACTTCCTTTGTATTTCCTTGACGACGTTTCGCTTCTCATCTAAGAAGCTTCTTAAGTTCTTCTATTTCAAGGGATCATCAGAAATTGACCCCAAAGAAAAATTCATTGCTAGAGCTGTGCACCATTAATATCACAATGTCAATTGTCATCTTTACAGAGTTGATAGAATTATAATTGACCCATTTTGCCATCTTTGGTAGCCATACATAATTAGTGGTTGAAAACAACAACAATGAAAATCCACATTTTCTATACTGAATCCTGTTTGTGGATGATTGTCTATGTTTCCTATCAGTTACTGCCATGTACAAAATTGATTCAAATTTGGTTGCTGGCTGTTAAGTTTGTTATTGCAAAACCCTGGAAAGTTAAAATTCATTTCCCACCAGACTGATGGCCTTTGAAAATGTCACTTTGTCATCCATCACAGCTGTGGCTGAAAAACTGACACAGAAATGAGCTTTGAAAAACTTGTAACAGAGGCCATTTTCTTCCAATCTGGTCCCTATTAATGAGTTGCATTAAACATATTTTTCCTAATAGATTATCTGTGTCTAAACAAGTATCGTCCTGGACAGAAATATTGAGTACAGATGTTTATTATGTTTGTTCTTGTCTTGAATTAAAAGGAATTTTTATTCTTCCTTCTTCCCTTCGGATGTTTCTGTTTTTGACATTGGCTTATTCATCTTGAGTGGAAAAATATATGGGGAATGTTGGGATTTTGGAGTTCACGAAGTTTAGTCTTGCAAATATTTCATTATCAAAGTAGGTGGCACACGGCAGTGGGATCATTTGACTTTGTGCATGGGGCAGTTTGACCTACCAATCTTCATCGGAATAGTTATAGTGCCTGTGTGCCTGTTTCTGATTAGTCTACTGGCTCAGTTGGCTGCGTTGTTTCATCTTAGATTGTTGGATTGGGTTTTTTTTCTCCCCTTATATATGTGTTGACTGTTGGATGTGGGATAAGAAAGATGCGCCTCAGGCTATTCCTTCTTCAGCTTTTGTTTACTTGAAGTAATTTATAGACAGGGTTCACGGCAAAGGCAGGTTGCTAATCAAACGTTTGCAAGGAGAAAACCAAGTCTAGTGAACACAAAGTTACTAACCTTATTTAGTTTTTGAATCCTGCAATTCAAAAGATAAACAATCAATATATACTTTCAAAACCGTCACCTGGGATTCTTGCACCCTTCCTGGGAGTTCATTAGCGATGCGCTAAATGTGGATATTTATAAGCTTAATTTAGGCCACCTGGGGATTCTTGAGCAATTGTTCACAACTGTTTCAAATTACTCCCATCTTTCAAACTATTTTTCTCCCGTTTTGACAGTTGGTTTTTTTATGGCTGTTGCTTAGAACGTTTCTTTTGGTCTTTATTTCTAACTCTTGCAGACCACAATATCCCATAATATGCTGGCAGTTTACAGTGCGAAAACAATAAAACACAGTAAGAATAAATAAAGCAATTGAAACTGGTTAGACATTAATCCCCATAGGTACCCAATCCCAATGGCTGTCTATGTATCTCTGCAATGGTACCAATCTAAATAGCTAACTGGAATAGAAAACCCATCTATGTCTTAATTTTATGCTATACTTTGACTAAGGTAAAAGGTAAAGGTTCCCCTCACACATATGTGCTAGTCGTTCCTGACTCTAGGGGGCGATGCTCATCTCCGTTTCAAAGCCGAAGAGCCAGCGCTGTCCAAAGACGTCTCCGTGGTCATGTGGCCGGCATGCCTAAATGCCAAAGGCGCACGGAACACTGTTACCTTCCCACCATAGGTGGTCCCTATTTTTCTACTTGCATTTTTTACGTGCTTTCGAACTGCTAGGTTGGCAGAAGCTGGGACAAGTAATGGGAGCTCACCCTGTTACGCGGCACTAGGGATTCGAACCGCTGAACTGCCGACCTTTCGATCGACAAGCTCAGCGTCTTAGCCACTGAGCCACCACGTCCCTATACTTTGACTAAGTATAGTCAAAAACTAAGATGGCTGCCTATAAAATGGCCGGCGCCTGGCCTAATGGTATCCTGTCCCTTTAAAGCAGCGTGGGCAACTATTGCCCCTTTACGACCTGAAGTAGACTTCAACTCCCAGAATTTCTGAGCTAGCATGGTCCACAGATTGTAAGGGGACCATAGTTACTCGCCCTTCAAGACCTCTCTAGCCAGTACAGCGACTGGTAGCTACAAAAGCCGAAAAGAGAGGCAGCTAGGGATAGTTGTGTTGGAATGGTGTTGGTGTGGGAGTGAGAGTGAGATGGAAGGTGATTTGCGGTAATTTATTGAAATAAAGCCTGAAGCATCCTAAAACTAATAGAAAGAGGTACTATTCTCAAGCAGTGGAACTCATAAGAAGAAGTGATGGAGGAGCAGTATTAGGAGCTGTAGTAGAACTGGGGAAGAATGGAGTAGTGAGGAGTAAGTATCTACTGCCATAGGTTGCCATCACAGGCCTAGGGTCATTACATTCCCATAAATGGACAAAGTCCAACCCCTCATAAATTCTATTAATGCTGACCATTACTTGACTAGATTACTGCGTATAGGCATGAGCAATAGATCAGCTTAACTGGAACTTAAATGTGTAGTCCTGATCCTTCGTGCCTGACAACAAGCCTTGATCCTTACCTGCAGGATCATCTCCTGCCATCCTCCCATCGTCCGGGGCGCTCACACAGAGCGGGCCTCCTCAGCGTGCTGTCAGCCAGACAATGTCGGATGGCGGCCCCCGGGGGGAGAGCGTTCTCTGTGGGAGCGCTGACCCTCTGGAATGGGCTGCCCACCGGCCTCAGGACAGCCCCTGACCTCCTCTCCTTCCACCGCGAATTGAAGACGTGGCTTTTTCACCAAATGGGCTGAATCCGTAGGGGTGATTTTTAATAATTTTAATCAAATTTTTAATTAATTTTAACTAATTTTAAATTGACTTTGATGTTTACGTAATTTTTTTGTTCCTTCTTGTAAGCCGCCCTGAGTCCTTCGGGAGAAGGGCGGCATATCAATTACATAAATAAATAAAAATAAATAAATAAATAAATCAGCAGAGAACTTCAAGGAGCACAGCCAGGAGGCTGTCATCATATGAAACTTGTTTATATCTTTTGATAAAGATTGTATAGCTCCGTATCATCTCCTACAACGGCAAGGAGAACAAACCTGAACCCTTGATTATTTAGAAATGGTTTATTCTACACCAACTTGTGAGTTGGTTTTGAGGGTTTAGCGACGTATTTTCCTTTCTTTCTTTTAACCAGATGTCCGCGAATGGAATTTCGAAATTGACTGTAAGCATGCGGCATACAAATATGATAAACACAGAACATGTGTTGAAACCCCAGCTTTACAAACAAAACAAAAACAAAAACAATGGGCTTAATTTTTACAAATGCTGATTTCAAGACTACACAGCCTGTTCTGGTTAAGAGATTTTCTTAGAAGGCATAAGCTTTCATAAGGTCAGATGCATGGAGTTGCTGAACTGGATTGGGGGGTGGGGGGAATGGAGGGGAAAACTGGTTGGTTGTGCAGATGCAGGTTATACGTGAGTCAAATTATTGTATCATATCAATTGTAATATGTTAAAAACCTATTGTGTTTGTTGAGGCTTCTGGAAAATCTGAAACTTTTTCAGCAGTCTCTCATTCAACTCCGCTGCTTAAGTTAAAATCATAAGGTTGGAAGTGACCTCACTCCTCAAGGCAGGAGTCTTATACCATCCCAGTCCGGAATGGGACTTTTCGGCTCCTACCTTTGGCCGCGCCTGCTTCTCCGCCAAGCTTCCGCCTCGGGGCATTCACCGCTAGCTTTTATTTATTTATTTATTTATTTGTTTGTTTGTTCAACTTGTATGCTGCCTTTCTCCGAAGACTCAAGGCGGCTTACAATGCATTTAAAAACCATATATAAAAACATTAAAAATTAAAACATTAAAAACAATTAAAACCCATTCACACCATTCATGGCCGGATCTCGCCAGATCGCAACAGCGAGATCAACGGCCCTAGGCCTGCCGGAAAAGCCAGGTCTTCACCGCTTTTCGGAAGGCCAATAGGGTCCGGATCTCAGGAGGTAACTGATTCCAGAGAACTGGGGCAGCCACAGAGAAGGCCCTCCCCCGCGGGCCCTCCATCCCCACCCTAGCTTAATTTTTATCCGTGCACCTTGGAGTGGGTGGTATCTTAATTAGGGCTTATTTTGGGGGTAGGGCTTATATTGGGCACACCAAGCTAGGACTTACTTTCGGGGTAGTTCATATTTTTGGGGAAACATTGTACTTTGTTCTTGTTTCGACTCCTGAAGTCAAACTTGCATACCAGACTCTTTTTAATTTTTGGCTACCATGGGCTAAAACAACTCTCCTCTTCCAATGTCTACATCTCCTTCTAAACATTCTCAGGTACATTAGTGAGGTCTTGTTACATTCAACATTTGAATGGGATACCTCCACAGGCAGCAAAGGATGCAAAATGACAGTCTCTGGGGCAAACGTCCTGCAGGGCGGGCCCACCTGGGCCTGCTCCTTGGCACAAGGTGTCTCGTCTTCATTCTGCACAATGTCACTGCTGTCGCTGTTATTCGTCTCATAGTCGGAGGTGGCCTGCGCAGGATCATCTAAAAGGAAAACCCAACTGCCGGTTACTGCTGTTAGGACCCAACTCTCTTTCTGATCTGACCTAGGCTTCCTTAGAAAACATAAAGCACAATCTTAATCCCGGCAAACCTCTTTTATTCATACGGCTGTGAATTATTGTCATTCACAGTCCGAAAGCTTCAGAAACAGTCTTTCAGGGAAATGTTTATAAACACCCACCTTATCTCCTTTGGAATGTTGCCAGAGAACTATTTGCCAAATGCAGGGCAAGGCCAAACTTAGCACAGAGTCAAACAGAACTTTCCAAAACTTGAACTGACCTGATGAACTAATTGCTTCCTGCAAAAGCTCACATCCCGTTCGCTCCTCTTTTATGTCTTTATGGAAGGGGCCAATCATCTCCAAGCCTGACTCCCAAGTCAACCCTGTTTTCTTAATTGTTCTTGTCTTCTGGCAGCTCTGCACATGCACACACTGGGAACAGGCTCCCGCTGTTTTTCTGCCTCGCTGATGTCAGATTCCGGAGGCAGCAAATAACTACCAGATGGCCTTGGCCCCCTCTCTGCCTCTGACTCTGAGCCCTCGTCCAAGCCTTCCCCAGACTCCAGGACTGGCCCACGTTCCTCCCCAACCTCCTCACTGTCCGAATCTGCTGCCAGCTCTCCTGGCCGTTGGCGGGCCACAACACTTTCCTTGAACCAACCAAAGCAGATCCCCTCAGCAATTCCAAATCAACAAATAGCAGAGTCCCATCTTGTCCCAAGCTCGGTCTTCAGGTACAGTAGATGCCTACTTACCTGTCCTGTTCAAAGTATGTGCGGCCCCGTCATTCCTATCCAACATTCCTTCTCTGGGGTCTGTTTGGCTGTACGGCCTGCCACAACTGGAAAACAGAAGGTACGACAGAAATTCGGTCAAACAGTGGACAAGCAGCAAATGGATAGAAGATGATCTATTATGAGAAGTAACTGATGTAACTGCACATTCCTTTTCCTGGTTCCTACATGAAAACAGATTGCTTGATTGATGCTCATTCAAAGAGCAGAGTTGGGTCCATGGATGTATTTCTTCCCACCACTGGGGGAGAGGCTGGTCATTCTACACACCCATAAATCTGTTCTCATGTCCTCATTAGCCCGTATTATTTTTTTTCCAAAAGAAATATGTAGAAAACCACATCGTTTTTTTCCCCGCACACATAATTTCCCTAACATCTGGATTTTGTACCCATTTACGGTATCTCTGTTGGCAAACAATCCCGTCCAACGTACACACCAGTGTGAGACTGTTCCCAGTGCGCGCAGTTTTTAATGCTACTTTTAGACTGAAAGGATATTGCAAAATTGAGAATCTGCATGAACCAAAGGATAATTGTTCCAATCTGCCTCTTTAGAGTGAATTAAATCAGATTACTTCAAAACGTGGAGCAAACGGATTTTCCCCCCCCCCTACTCCTGGTATGCAACACATAATTGATATATAACAGAGGTGGAAAACAGTTTTACAGTTAGGAGCCACACTTAAAAAAAAAATAAAACACTTGGCGTCCAGGGATTGTAGAGGATGTGGTGGTAATAAAAAAGCAATTTATATAGACTCTCACACCCACACACAAGTACACGGAGCTGTTGATGGAGAAGCAAGGCAAAAGAAAGAAAGAGTGAAAAGCAAAGGAGAGAGACAAAATTGTTCTAGAAGGGAAAACAAGTCCTTGAATCACAAAGAATAGTTTCATTATGAAACCCACCAGCAGGAAAACAGTCGACACCATTTCTTGTGAATTGAACGTGAGATAAGACTCATTTGATTGCACTAGTACAGGGGTATCAAACTCAAGGCCCGTGGGCCAAATCCAACCCGTGGGGTGCTTAGATCTGGCCCGCACGGCCGCCCTGGAAATGGCGAAGGACTGGCTCACGATGCCTCACACAGCTCTCCCGAGCTCCATTTTGGCTGGCAGAGGATTGCAGGAGGCCGTTGCAGCCGAAAACGGAGCTTGCAGGAGCCGCATGGAGTCCTCCTGAGCTCCGTTTTGGCTGCAGAGAGATGTAAGAGGCAGTCGCAGAGCTGAAAATGGGGCTCGGGAGCAGTGGTGAAATCCAATTTTTTTTTTATTACCGGTTCTATGGGCGTGGCTTGGTGGGTGTGGTGTGGCTTGGTGGGCATAGCAGGGGAAGGATACTGCAAAATCTCCATTCCCACCCCACTCCAGGGGAAGGATACTGCAAAATCTCCATTCCCACCCCACTCCAGGGGGAAGGATAGTGCAAAATCTCCATTCCCACCCCACTCCAGGGGAAGGATACTGCAAAATCCCCATTCCCTCTCCACTCCTGGGGGAAGGATACTGCAAAATCTCCATTCCCACACCACTCCGGGGGAAGGATACTGCAAAATCTCCATTGATTTTGAGTGGGGAGGGAATGGAGATTTTGCAGTATCCTTCCCCCAGGAGTGGGGTGGGAATGGAGTATCCTTTTGCAGTATCCTTTCCCTGGGGTGGTGTGGGAATGGGGATTTTGCAGTGTACTTTCCCTGGAGTGGGGTGGGGATGGAGATTTTGCAGTATCCTTCCCCAGGAGTGGGGAGGGAATGGAGATTCCCTTCCCCTGCCATGCCCACCAAGCCACACCACACCAACCGAGCCATGCCCACAGAACCGGTAGTAAAACAAATTTGGATTTCACCACTGATTAAGGTGCTAAAAGATGCTTTTCTGTTTTAACCATTTAAACCTAAGTTTAACCATTCTTATTTTCTTTACACCTTGTGCCTGCCAAATGTTAGTATCTATAGCTGTGAGGAGGTGTCTGACTTTGGGGGAAAAAAAATCACCCCAGGATTAGGGGCCCAAGGCAAACTATAATTTATATTGTTCACTCTGATAAATTCATAAATTCAATGGCCAAATGAAACCTTCAGGTTTTGCAGGAGTATAAACAGTGGCCAAGATTTACCTCAGCAGAAATCACTAGAAAGCGAGCAATAACGCCTTCAGCTGTTTTCACAGCACTATCAGGGAGATCAGAGTGGGAAAGGATTTTTAATTTAATGTAATAACGTGGCCTCAAGAAGTTCTTATTTTCCTACAAAAGCCATCCTCTGATGATCATCCAATGCTCCTTGAATGGCGAAAGTAGAATAAAACAGGCTAAGGGGTGAGAAGCGACATAAAAGAGAAGGAACAGTGACTTTAAAAAAAAGGGACGTCAACCTTTTGGGGCACAAGAAATCACAGGTTTTATTTTGCTGGCTACGGTATTTATAAATTGGCTTCTTAGAACCTCAAGAGGCCATAGCAATATCGCTGGAGTGGGATTTCAGATTTTTGGGGGTTGGCGGGGGTTCAGCCGAGGCCGGAGATCGTTAAGTTCTTATTTTGCCAAGTGCATTTTCATAAGAAAATAAAAATATGGGCTGCCAAACGAGCCCAGATGACAGCAACCTGATCTTAGGAGGCTCCGAAGGAATGGGAAGGGAGCAGGCCAGATCAGCTCTGGTTTTTTTAAGAAAGCTTCACAAATTGCAAAAGTGTGGTGCAAGAGAGATGACTCCGCGCTGTCAATTCTCCGATTAATAAAACGGTCTGTAAAACCAATTCCGAGTGTCAGTGTCGGTTGGCTCGCTCACGTCTGAATTGTCCCCTGGAAACCGTCTTCTGTGAGTTCATAATTTAAATTCATTGCATCTTAAGTGCTCAGCATGTTGTAAGATGTCACAACTCTGACCTACTTTCCCATCGGACTTACACAAGAGCGGGGGGAAAAATGGAAAAATGGATGAATTTCGCCTTTCATGCAATTTGCTTGGGAGAGAGAGATACAGAAATAGTCCTCAATTTATGACCGTTTAATGACAGTTCGAAGTTAGGGCAGCCTCAGACTTGTAAGTGATGAGCTTTGCACCACCCTCAGGGACACATGAATGCAATGCAGGTGCTTGGCAACCAGTTTGCATTTATGATGGTATATAGCAGTGTTGCTCAACCTTGGAAGCTTGAAGATGGGTGGACTTCAATTCCCAGAATCCCCCAGCTTCCAAGGTTGAGAAACACTGGTTTACAGCATCTTGTGGTCATGTGACCACAATTCCTGATCTTTCTTGATGGCTTCCGACCAGCAAACTGGGGACTTTTTCCACTAAAAGAAATCCTGGTCCAATTGTCATTGTAAGTCAAGGACTTACAGGTATTCTTCAACTTATGACCACAACTGGAGGCCAACATTTATGTTGCCAAGTGAAAAAAATTCGCTAAGTGCATTTGACCCCGTGTTACAACTTTTCTGGCCACGTTGGTTAAGTGAGTCACTGCAGCTGCTAAATGAGTAACACGGTTGTTAAGTGAATCGAGCTTCCCCCATTGACTTTGCTTGTCAGATGGTCCCAAAAAGGGATCACGTGACCCTGGGACGCTGTGACTGTCATAAATACGAGTCAGTTGCCAAGTGTCTGGATTTTGATCACGTGACCATGGGGGATGCTGCAATGGTCGTAAGTATGAAAAACGGCCATAATTCATGTTTTTCAGTGCCGTTGCAACTTCGAATGGTCACTACGCACTGTCGTGAGTCGAGGACTACCTGTACTGGTAGCCCTTCAATGTTCCCTAAGAAGCTGAGAAGGTAGAATTCAAATCTGGATGTACTTAAAGGAGAGCAAATAATTTATTGATGGATTGTGTTTTCTTCCTAATGCTGGCAGTAATTTAGTTCCAAGAAATCAAAATGCGGAATATAATTTGGTACAGAAAGCCAAGAATTTGATCCGGGAGGACAGCCCAGATGACTTACAGTCATATGGCAGTTTTCCAAATAATGGCATGGAACACAATCCAAGTTTTGGGTAGAAATTGCTTATTACAATAGGAAACATGCTGGGCAACATGATTAAATTGTGCAGAGATTCTGAATCTTAGTTGTGAAATCCAGCTGAGTGACTTTGAGCCAATCACTAGGAGACGGTGAGTTCTAGTCACGCCTTAAGCATGAAAGCCATCTGGGTGACTTTGAGCCAATCACTAGGAGACGGTGAGTTCTAGTCCCGCCTTAGGCATGAAAGCCACCTGGGTGACTTGGAGCCAATCACTAGGAGATGGTTAGTTCTAGTCCCGCCTTAGGCATGAAAGCCACCTGGGTGACTTTGGGGCCAATCACTAGGAGATGGTGAGTTCTAGTCCCGCCTTAGGCATGAAAGCCACCTGGGTGACTTGGAGCCAATCACTAGGAGACGGTTAGTTCTAGTCCCGCCTTAGGCATGAAAGCCACCTGGGTGACTTTGGGCCAATCACCAGGAGACGGTGAGTTCTAGTCCCGCCTTAGGCATGAAAGCCACCTGGGTGACTTTGGGCCAATCACCAGGAGACGGTGAGTTCTAGTGCCGCCTTAGGCATGAAAGCCACCTGGGTGACTTTGGGCCAATCACCAGGAGACGGTGAGTTCTAGTCCCGCCTTAGGCATGAAAGCCAGATGGATGACTTTGAGCCAATCACCAGGTGACGGTGAGTTCTAATCCCGCCTTAGGGATGAAATCCAGCTGGATGACTTTGCACCAGTCACCCTCTCTCAGCCCGATCCACCTCACAGGGTTGTTATTGTGAGGCAAATAAAACGAGAAAGGCATGTTGAATATGTATGCCACCTTGGTTATTTGTAAACATAATAAAGAGAGATATCAGTTCAACCTATTCTTCCTCTAATCCAAGGACCGTGTGCTTCAAAAAGGAAATATTTCACGTAAGTGAACGACAGAATGACATTACTAAAACAGAGAAGCAATTTGGGGTTCATTTGTCCCCAGAGAGAGGGCAGGATAATATGCTATTAGGTATGCTAACAGTGTTCATGGATTAAAGCATTCAGTTCTTTTTCACCACACAAAAGGATTAGTGGGAAAATTATACCGCTTCACCACTTGGTTAATTAATTAGGTTGATGTCCTTTTCTTTTTCCTCTCCTCCTCTCTGAAGTTGAGAAGTGAGCTAGGATTCCCTGGCATGACAATTAACTAGGATTCTTTGGCGTGGAAAAACAGACTGTAAATCCTTCCTTCCATCCCAAATTTAATTTTCACAGGGGAAGCAATGCAGCTCGGTTTAGAAGACCTCCCATTGGAGCCCCTTACAGGGACTTTTGAACCTGGATCTAACCCAAAACTGACAGCGCCTCCAACAATTGATCAAAGTTTTTTTTCAAATACTTTGGTTTTATTGGTTTGTTGGTTGAATTTATTTTTCCCTGGATCGCAGCCTTCCACATACCGAACTCAAGGAATAAAGGACATGACCTAAATCAATTTCATTGGGAAATGAGATGACTATCTGGAAGGATCACCTGACTGAATCCATTCCACCACATATTTCATTTCCACAAAGTCAATTTAGGGGAAATGAAGACAAGATGTGAGCTATCTCGAAGCCCTGTGCATCTGCCAAGAACAATTCCAAGTGTCTGAACTCAACTATCACTTGGTTACTCTACAGCAGCATCGCGCAGTGATTTACATGCCACGCCCTTATTTTCCCTACTTCTGAGAAATAAGAATTATTCAGAAACCATCAGGGGCCACCAAAATGCCACCTGCTAAAAGAGCTCAGTTTACACTTTCTTCCTGTAGCCTCTAAAAGCTTGAATAGAGGCCCAGGAATCTTCGGAAGTGGTTAAAGAAATAGTATTTTTAGAACCGGGATGGGCAATTCATTTTCCCAAGGAGCAGAGGAAAAACTGGTCCTGTTGTGGAGAGCCAACCAATAGGGCTGTGACCTAGGCTCCCCCAAAAAGCACGAAACAGAATCGTGGTCCTAACAAACCCCCCTTTTTTTTAATTTGATTTATATTTTTATTAAACAAACAGGGAATTCCTCGCATTCACCTTCAGCAAAGTCTTTCAAGGGAGAATTTACAGTCACAGACCTTATCTGGCTTGGAGAGCTGCCAGGCCGATATCTTCAAAACTTGGCAAAGAGTCTCCGCGAGTCACAAACCAATTAGGCGAACTAATTGTCTCCTGCAAAATCCACTCCCTTTTCATTCCCTCTGGGAGGGGCCATTCATCGTCCACCTGTGGCCTTACTCCCAAATCGACCCTTGTTCTTTAGCTGTTCCCGTCATCTGGCAACTCTGCGCATGCACACACGGGGAACAGGCTCCAGCTGTTCATCTGCCTCACTGATGTCTGACTCTGAAGGCAGCTGATAACTGGCATCCGGTCCTGGCCCCCTCTCTGCCTTGGACGCAGAGCCCTCATCAGAGCCTTCCCCAGACTCCAGGACTGGCCCATGTTCCTCCCCAACCTCTTCATTGTCCGAATCTGCTGCCAGCTCTGCTGGCAGGCCACAACAGCATAGGCAAGTGTGCGTGCGCGCACACACACACACACACACACACACACACACACACACACACACACACGTCAATTGGGGGTAGGGGGGAAGCAGTCACTTCAAAATAAAAGCAACCCACATCTGCTGGACAGGGACAGGCAAAGAGCTGGAAGTAAAATGTCCAGGTCCTTTTTAAGAATGACTGGACAGCAGTAGCTTGTATTTACAAAATAAAATAAAATTAATTAAAATTAATAAAATAAATTAAAATAAAAAGTAGAAAAATAAATTAAAATAAAAAGTAGAAAAATAAATTAAAATATAAAATTAAAATTAATAAAATTAATAAAATTAAAAATGAAATAAAATGAAATAAAATAAATGGGGGTCTTGGACTCTCAGGAGAGAAAAGTGACACACGGCTGCTGCAAATAGAGCAGCTGAACCAATCACAGTGGAACAAACCCTGCTCCATCATTCTTTTTCACTGTTCTCTACAACTACTGGCAGCTGCTGATGGATAAGAATTAAAGTTGAACACTTTTGGAAAGTTTCACTTCCTGCTTCCTTAGGAGAGCAGGATATCTCCCCCCCCCGCCCCGTGAAATTAATATTGGAAGACACCGTTCTCATCCAGTTGTTAACAGCTGGTTTCTACTGCTGTTTTTTATTTGCTGTGAACCTGTCTTACATACAATTATACTTGGGTCTTTCTTTAACCTGTCTTTAAAATCAATTATACTTGGGTCTCAGGTATAGGTTAGTTCTATCATGTGCACCTCAAGCTGTTAATTAAATCAAATGTAGACTCTTCTGCAGCTGAACTATACGTTTGTCCACATGGAGAGGCAGCTGGATGGAGTGTTGAAGGTGCTGGCCTGGAAACCAGGAGACTGGAAGTTCTAGCCCTCACTTAAACATGAAAGCCAGCTAGCTGATTTTGGGCCAGCCACCTTTTTTCAGTCCAATCCACCTTGAAGGCTTGTTGTTGTGGGGAAAGGGAGGAGGAGGTAGGAGTTATTAGGTATATTTGCCATCTTGAGTTATATATAAAAAAGATGGAATGACAATGATGACAATGTCCTTCCCCCAATTTTGCACTGTAGAAGATGCTGGATTTTGAATCTTGGAATTTCCAAACTATTGGGCATCTAGTTAGCTGACAGCCAGTTTGGACTAGAGATTAAGGCACAAGGCTAGAAACTGGGAGATGGTGAGTTCTAGTCCCGCCTTAGGCATGAAAGCTTGCTGGGTGACTTTAGACCAGTCACCAGGAGACAGTGAGTTCTAGTCCCATCTTAGGCATGAAACCCAACTTGGTGACTTTGGGTCAATCACCAGGAGATGGTGAGTTCTAGTCCCGCCTTAGGCATGAAAGCCAGCTGGGTGACTTTGGGCCAATTACCAGGAGATGGTGAGTTCTAGGCCTCACTTAAACATGAAAGCCAACTGGGTGACTTTGGGCCAATCACCAGGAGATAGTGAGTGCTAGTCCCGCCTTAGGCATGAAAGCCAGCTGGATGACTTTAGGCCAATTACCAGGAAACGGTGAGTTCTAGTCCCGCCTTAGGCATGAAACCCAACTGGGTGGCTTTGGGCCAATCACCAGGAGACGGTGAATTCTAGTCCCGCCTTAGGCATGAAAGCCAGCTGGGCCAATTACTCTCTCTCAACCCAATCTACCTCACAGGGTTGTTGTTGTGGGGGAAAATAGGAGGAGGAAAGTGTTTAGGATGCATTCACCACCTTGAATTAATTGTAAAAATAATAAAGGCGTGATACAATAAATAAAATAAACTCCAATATTTATGGAAAGGCCCAGGCTGGGGAAGACTTGACCAAGGCACTGAGATCAGGAAAGAAATACACAACCAAAGAAAAATATAAGAAGCTCCAACAAATAGAGAAGTATTATCTTACCTACTGCAAATGACAGAGGTACCTTCCACAGGCTCTGATATGTTAGGGGCACTCTGAGTGCAACCTAAGAGCTTGTGAGGCTTGATGGCTTGGACAGTGGCCATGACTGTTGACTCTGGAAATTGTTCTCCTGAGGTTCTGCGGATGGGGCTGTTGGCTGGTGTGCCCTGGACGGGTGAATGGCTTGGGGAGACAAGAGGTGAAATATTTGGGGAGATACCTGTGGAATGGGAAAACAGCATTTATTTTTCAAATGGTCAGCGTATGCAGTGTTTCCCCGAAAATAAGACATCCCCTGATAATAAGCCCAATAGGGCTTTTGAGCGCATGTGCTAAAATGACCCCCCCACCGAAAATAAGCCCTCCCCAAAAATATTTAAACGCATGTGCAGCTGGTCCCCGCCATTTCCTCTGGTTAAGGTTAGGGAGACAAAGCTGGAAATCAGGTAAGACGGCAAGAGGAGCCCTCCATGTGCCCCAATATAATAAGACCTCCCCGAAAATAAGGCCAAGCGCTTATTTCGGGGTTCAAAAAAATATAAGACAGGGTCTTATTTTCGGGGAAACAGGGGTATATATCATCTCTTCGCGAAGCCAACTCTCTACAGGTAGTCCTCAACAAGGTACGATGATGGAACCAGAATTTTTATTGCTAAACAAAGTGGTTGTTAAATGAATAATTTTACAACATTTTTTTTTTTTTGCAATGTTAGTTAAGTGAATCCCCCTCCCCCCCCTCGTTGATTTTGCTTTTAAGAAGCCGGCTGGGAAGATCCCAAACAAGTATAAGTAAGTATAAGTATAATTTTATTTCTATACCGCCCTTCTCCTGAAGGACTCAGGGCGGTGTACAGCCTATTTAAAAACACAAGACAAACATCAATTAAAAATTTAAAATTATTAAATAAATTCAGCTCAATTTAAAACCCCAGAAATTTAAAATACCCCAATTTAAAATTATTATGTTGATAGCCCGGCCTGGCGGAACAACAGGGTCTTCAGTGCACAGCGAAATACCCGGAGGTCGGAGATCTTGTGTATTTCCGGGGGCAGTTCATTCCACAGGGCTGGGGCTCCCACAGAGAAGGCCCTCCCCCTGGGTGTCACCAGCCGACATAACTTGGCCGATGGTACCCTGAGGAGACCCTCTCTGTGGGAGTGAACTGGTCGGTGGGAGGCTATTGGTGGCAGAAGTCAGTCTCGAAGGTACCCGGGTCCTATGCCATGGAGTGCTTTAAACGTGGTGACCAACACCTTGAATCGCACCCGGAAGACCACTGGGAGCCAGTGCAGCTCGCGCAGGAGGGGTGTCACACGGGCACAACGAGTTGCGCCCATAACCACCCGCGCAGCCGCATTCTGGACCAGTTGGAGCCTCCGAGTGCTCTTCAAGGGGAGCCTCATGTAGAGAGCATTACAATAGTCCAGCCGGGAGGTGACAAGGGCGTGAGTGACCGTGCGCAAGGCATCCCGGTCCAGAAAGGGCTGCAACTGGCGAATCAGGCGAACCTGATAAAAGGCCCCCCTGGCCACGGCCGTCATATGCTCTTCTAAAGACAGCCGTGCATCCAGGAGGACACCCAGATTGCGAGCCCTCTCTGTGGGGGGCAAAGATTCCCCCCCCCCAATAGTCAGCGATGGCACCTGCTGACTATATCGGGACGCGCGTATGATAATTAGGATGCTGCCACCAACCATCTTAAATATTTGTAGGTTGCCAAGCACCTGAATTCTAATCATGTGACCATGAGGAGCAGTGGTGGGTTGCTCCCGATTCTGTCCAGTTCTATAGAACTGGTAGTAAAACCGGCAGGAGGCTCCTCCCACCTGCCACGACGTCATCATGGGTGATCTGTGCATGCGCAGAAGCTGCGAACTGGTAGTAAAGGTAAGCAGAACCCACCCCTGATGAGAAGGCTGAAGTGGGGATGCCCCAGTGGTCGTAAGTGGGAGGCGCAAGCTGTTTTTCAGTGCCGTTGTAAATTTCAGTGACTGGTTCTCGTATGTATGACCACTGCAACATCCCCACAGTCACATGATCAAAATTTGAGTGCTTGACAACTGGAATTTATTTGAGATGGTTGGAGTGTCCTAGGGATCCTGGGATCCCCAGCATTTGTGACCTTCCCAACTGGCTTCCCATAACCAAAGTCAATGGGGGAAGCCAGATTTGCTTAATGACGGCATGATTCATTTGGCAACTGCAATGATTCACTTAACAACCATGTCAGAAAAAGGTCAGGTGTGATTCGTGGACCATCGTCTTGCTCAGCAACAGAAATTCTGGTCCCAATTGTGGCCGTTGAGTTGACGACTACCTGAAATCTTCCCTTAGGTACCAAAGCAGGCAGGGTGATTTGAATCTGAAAAACCAGTGCAGAAGGTTAAGCTACTTAAATGAAGTTCAATACCATGAATTGATTTGAGCTGATAACAAGAACAGTATGTGGTATCTATTGCCTTAAAGTAGCCCTCCTAGGTTAAAACTTTGCTTCCAAAGATCCTTCCCCCTGTGCTAAAAGATCCTCTGTTAACAACTCAAATAGTACAGGTAGTCCTCGACTTACAACAGTTCATTTAGTGACCGTTCAAAGTTACCACGGCAATGAAAAAAAAAGTGACTTTTGACAGTATTTCACAGTTACGGCCTTTCCAGCATCCCCACGAGCATGCGATCAAAATTCAGATGCTTGGCACTTGCTTCTTATTTATGACGGTTGCTGTGTCCCAGGGTCAAGCGATCCCCTTTTGCGACCTTCTGAGAAGCAAAATCGATGGGGAAGCCAGATTCACTTAACAACCGTGTTACTAACTTACCAGCTGCAGTGATTCACTTAACAACGGGGGCAAGAAAGAAAGGTCGTAACGGCAAAAATTTTGGGCTCAATTGCGGTCGTTAAGTCAAGGACCACCTGTAGTCCTATTGCAGTGAGGGCTAACCTTTTCCGGATTGAGTGCCCAAAGCGCACAAGTACACATTTTTGCATATGCCCAAACCCCCAAAATACAATGTGTGTGCCCACCCCGCATGCGTCCCGACCCCCCGGCACATGCCCACCGGTCCCCCTGCACCCTTCCCGTGCATGCGTGTGGTTCCTGCACACGGCCCACTAGCACGCGCCCTGTCCCCGCGCATGTGCAGCAGAGACCTGATAACAGGGGTGAAATCTAAAATTTGTTACTACCGATTCTGTGGGCGTGGCTTAGTGGGGGGGGGGTAATGTGACTGGGTGGGCATGGCCAATTTTTTTTTTTTTACTTTTAAAACCATTTTTTACATGTAAAACCATGTTAAAAAAATGCTTTCAAAAGGCTCTGACGATCCCAGCTGAGTTGCCTGATCCGCAGGTGCGTTGATGGTCAAAGCCATTTAAAAGAAAAAACTTTTTTTCTTTTAAATGGCTCTGGTGATCCAAGCTGAGTTGCCTGATTAGCAGGCAACTCAGCTGGGATCGTCAGAGCTTGATTAGCAGGCAACTCAGCTTGGCTCGTCAGAGCCATTTAAAAGAAAAAAAAGGCTCTGATGATTGCGCGGCTCAGCTGGGCATGGGGGGCGGGGGCAGGGATTTTTGCTACCAGTTCTCCGAACTGCCTGCCGCCATCGCTACCTACTCGCCCGAGCCAGTCTGAACTGGGAGCATTTCACCCCTGCCTGATGACCAGCTGGCCAGCAGGAGGCATGCAGACATGCGCGGCAGAGCTTAACTGGGGTGATGGCTCGCGTGCCCACAGAGAGGGCACTGCGTGCCACTTGTGCTACGTGTGCCATAAGTTCGCCATCACGGTCCTATTGCATATCACCACTGGTTAGAAAAACGGTAGACAAGAAATATGAGCCTGGATAGCTCAGCAGACTAATGCATTGTAATTTAACTCCAGCTGTCTGCAATTAGTAAGTTCGAATCTTGCCAGGCTCAAGGTTGACTCAGCCTTCCATCCTTTCTAAGGTAGGTAAATTGAGGACCCAGTTTGTGGGGGCAATAAGCTGACTTTGTAAAAATATACAAAAGTATGAAGGCTATTGCTTAACGCATTGTAAGCCGCCCTGAGTCTCTGGAGAAGGGCGGCATATAAATCAAATTTAAATATATATATATAGATAGATAGATAGATAGATAGATAGATAGATAGATAGATAGATAGATATATCCATCCAGACTTTCAAATGTCATTTCGTTCAAGAACCTCTTGGGATTTAACTTGAAATCCATAAGAGCTGTATTATCTCTTTACTGATTTCAACAGTCTTGAATTCACATAAAATCAGCATCCTCAGTAGATAACTAGGGAGGTTTAACTAGGAAGCCAGTTTATTATTAATTTATTTCTATTTCTATACCGCCCTTCTCCCGAAGGACTCAGGGCGGTGTACAGCCTAATTAAAAACACAAAGACAGACAAAATTTAAAAATAATTAAAATTATTAGATAATAGGCCCAATTTGTAAAACCCCAAATTTAAAATCCCATTTAAAACCAATTAAAATCTTTACATTGATAGCCCAGCCTGGCGGAACAACATGGTTTTGAGGGCACAGCGAAACACACGGAGATCAGATTTTACGAATTTCTGGGGGCAGCTCATTCCAAAGGGCAGTTTGGTCTACTGGTTAAGGCACCAGGCTAGAAAGTGGGAGACCATGAGTTCTAGTCCCGCCTTAGACACGAAAGCCAGCCACCTGGGTGACTTTGAGCCAACCCAACCCACTTCACAGGATCGTTGTTGTTGTGGGGGAAATAGGAGGAGGGAGGTGTGTTGGAGACGTTCGCTGCCTTGAGTTATTTGTGAAAATAATAAAAGGCAGGGCTACAAAATGAAATAAATAACCACCTTGTCGGCTTGGCCGCTTTGAATTCAGATGGTTGGCTGCAGACATCGCGTAGGAGGTTGAAAAGGATCGGCTTTTGGTGAGAGTCATCAGGTGGGAATTGTTCCATGAGTCAGAGCTGTGAAAATAAAAGAGAAAAAGGCAGCACAATTCTTATTTGTAGGCTCCCTTAGAAAGAACAGAGGTCTGACTGATGATCGCAATCTCTAGGAAGCTGTAACCTCATGATTCTTGCAACAAACAGTCAGTTTACAGGCAGCTCACAAACTGCTTATAAAAGGTTAGGTTGCCATCATTTCAACCTAAGATAGGCAAAGTTGCATATTAGTGGGGAGAGAGAGAGAGAGAGACGGAGAGAGAGAGGGAGGAAGAGGGAGGGAGAGAGAGAGAGAAAAAGAAAGAGAGAAAGAGAGGGAGAGACAGAGAGAGAGACATAGAGAGAAAGAAAGAGAGGGAGAGAGAAAGAGACAGAGAGAGAGAGAGAGAGAAAGAAAGAGAGGGAGAGACAGAGAGAGAGAGGGAGGAAGAGGAGGGAGAGAGAGAGAGAAAAAGAAAGAGAAAGAAAGAGAGGGAGAGAGAGAGAGACATAGAGAGAAAGAAAGAGAGGGAGAGGGAGAGAGAAAGAGAGAGAAAGAGACGGAGAGGGAGAGAGAGAGAGAAAGAAAGAGGGAGAGACAGAGAGAGAGGGAGGAAGAGAGGAGGGAGAGAGAGAAAAAAAAAGAAAGAGAAAGAAAGAGAGGGAGAGACAGAGAGACAGAGAGAGAGAGAAAAGAAAGAGAGGGAGAGAGAGAGAGAAAGAGACAGAGAGGGAGAGAAAGAGAGAGAAAGAGAGGGAGAGACAGAGAGAGAGAGGGAGGAAGAGGAGGGAGAGAGAGAGAAAAAAGAAAGAGAAAGAAAGAGAGGGAGAGACAGAGAGAGAGACATAAGAGAGAAAGAAAGAGAGGGAGAGGGAGAGAGAAAGAGACGGAGAGGGAGAGAGAGAGAGAGAAAGAAAGAGAGGGAGAGACAGAGAGAGAGAAAGAGAGAGAGAAAGAGAAAGAGAGGGAGAAAGAGAAAGAGAAAGAAAAAGAGAAAGATAATGACTTTCACAGAAATAGGTAAGAGTCATTATCTAGGCCAGGGGTGAGGAAACTATGGCTCTTTTATGACTAGTGGACTTCAACTCCCAGAATTCCCCAGCCAGCCATTCTGAGAGTTGAAGTCCACAAGTCTTGAAGTAGCCAAAGTTGGAGTTCCTTGAGACAAACCATTTCAATTAGTCCTAAATTTATGACGATAATTGGGCCCAAAATTTCTGTTGCTAAGCAAAACATTTCACAAGTGAATTTTGCCCCATTTTTTGACCTTTCTTGCCATATTTGTTAAGTTGCTCAGTTAGTAACACGGTTGTTAAGTGAATCTGGCTTCCCCATTGACTCTGCTTGTCGGAAGGTCGCAAAAGGGATCACATGACCCTGGGGATACTGCAAACATCATCACTATGAGCTAGTTGCCAAGCATCTGAATTTTGATCATGTGACCATGGAGATGCTGCAAGGGTCGTAAGTGTGAAAAACGGCCATAAGTCACTTTTTTTCAGGGCCGTTGTAACTTTGAACAGTCATTATAAACGAACTGTTGTAAATCGAGGATGACCTGTCCCAGAAATCCTCCATGTTGGTTGGTGGAATTCTGGGATTTGAAGCCCACAAATCATAAAGGGGCCACAGTTTCCCCACCCCTGATCTAGGCAAAGGGGACAAACATTTTTTTTCAGGGGTGGGTTCTAATTTTTTTTACTACCAGTTCTGTGGGCGTGGCTTATTTTGTGGGTGTGGCTTATTTTGTGGGCGTGGCTTGATGGTCATGTGACAATTATTTAGGATTTAGCAGAGGTACTGGTTTACCAGGCTTTTAACTGCTTGCAGAGCTGTACCGATCTACCCATTTATTTTTGCAGGCACTGGTCTACTCATGTATTATTGCAGGCACTGATCTACTCATGTATTTTTGCAGGCACTGGTCTACTCATTTGTTTTTTTTTTAAACACTGATCAGCTGTAGGGCGGCCCTTTGAAGCCCTGCGGCAAGAGTTTAAACAGTTTTTTTCCTTATAGCCCATCAGGTGGGACTCAGGAGGCAGCAATAGATTGGGGGTGGGGCCAAATAAAAGGTAAGAATAACGCGGAGGGGGTGCGGGGGCAGAACTGGTTCAGTGATGTCATTTATTTATTATTTATTTATTAGTCATATTTCTTTGCCAACCACTCTCCGAGGACTCTGGGTGGCTTACACCAAAGACAGTATACTAAATAGCATATTGCCCCTAACAATCTGGGTCCTCATTTTACCCACCTCGGAAGGATGGAAGGCTGAGTCAACCTTGAGCCGGTGAGATTTGATCCGCTGATCTGCTGAACTAGCAGTCAGCTGAAGTAGCTGCAGTACTGTGCTCTAACCACTGCGCCACCTCGACTCTTGTGATATCATCACCGCTACCAGCTCGGGAGAACCGGGCCGAACTGGGAGGAACCCACCACTGATTTTTTTGGCTCTGATGAACAAGATGACATTGAAAAGTGGCTCAGGTAGATGCTGCCCCGATTTGTTGATGTATAAGAAGAAAGAGGAAGTCCACTGACATGGACTTTCAAGATTCTTTCAAGTCTCAATAAAAGTGCACTTGATTTCCTGGTCTTGTCTATCTGGTGGGGTTGACACTTGGCTGAATGGAAAAGGTAAGAATACCTGACTCTAACTGTGATGGAGAGGAAAGACTACAATTTTGTATTGGTTAACAGAAGAGCTTCAGGAGGTAGCAAATGGAACTCTTCAGGTTTCATATTCCCCACGTACTCTATTTCTGATATATTGCGTTGAGTACAATTTCCTGTTAATAAGGATTCCTACAGTTTCCTTTATTGAAACAATCTTCAAATGCAATTCAATTCAAAAAGGACGTGGTGGCTCAGTGGCTAAGACGCTGAGCTTGTCAATCGAAAGGTCGGCAGTTCAGCGGTTCAAATCCCTAGTGCCGCATAATGGGCTCCCGTTACTTGTCTCAGCTTCTGCCAACCTAGCAGTTCGAAAGCACGTAAAAATGCAAGTAGAAAAATAGGGACCGCCTTTGGCGGTTAAGTAACAGCGTTCCGTGTGGCGTTTACTCATGCTGGCCACATGACCATGGAGACGTCTTTGGACAGCGCTGGCTCTTTGGTTTTGAAACGGAAATGAGCACCGCCCCCTAGAGTTGGTAACGACTAGCACATATGTGCGAGGGGAACCTTTTACCTTTACCTTTACCAGGGAAAGGTAGAGAAAAATATCTTTGTTGCCAAAAATAAAATGGAGAAGACATTCTCTGCTTTGGGTGATTCCACCTGTGAAGTCTAAGAGCTGAACTAGTTGTTCTTCTATCAGATAGACACAGCATTCTCACAGTGGGTTTATTGCCCTTGGCTATGGACGGAACATTCCGGACTTATTAATTTTCCCAGCAGGAAAATTCAAGACCTGATGTGATGGTGCAAATGAGTGTCTTCCAATTTGGGTATCTTACAGCTGTATGAACTTCAACTCCCAGAATTCTCAGCAATAGCTATGCTAATTGGAAAGTTCCAAAAGTTGATACATATATCTAGGAGTTGTCAAAATTGGAAAACCCCTGAGCAACCTTTTTGACCCACACAAATTCCCATAATTGCTGATTCCGCTCCTTGTCTACAACTCCATGAACCCCTCGATTTATCTCACTGTGGCAGGTCAAGGTAATAACGTGGAATCAACAAATAATTTACAGTAGTGTGGCTTATCACCTAGTTTCTCTGTTTCCTACTAAAAACTTTAATTGCATTAAACAAGGACCTTCACAACTTAATAGAGACCTGCTGTGATCCATTTTGATGGATATGAAGTGTCTTATTATTATTTTTTATTATTATTTTTTATGATTTGCTGCACAGTCAGCCAGATGCTCAGACTTGATTTGGCATTTTTATCCATTTATCAAGTCCTTCCCAAGGACCTGGGATAGGCATATGTTGCTGTCTGATGATGTTAAAGGCATCATTTTAGGATGTAAGCTGTTCCGAGTAAAGATGCCTTCTGCAATTGACTGATACTGAATTTGTTAATTGATTTGCTGCCCATCACACAGTTCAAGGTAACTCTGAGCAGCTGATAGCATTATAAGCTTCTACTAGAGTGCGTTAATCATGTGGTATTTTAGATCTGTTGACTATCCACCAATGTTTTAGTGTTTATATTTGTTTTTTCTACTTGAATTGTCTTTTTATATCAAATATAGTTAAAACTTATACTTGTATCTGAACTGAATTTTTACTTTATTCCTTTCTGTCAGTATCTCTCAGCCTTTGCAACTTTAAGAACTTAAAGGTAAAAATCTACAATTATTTTCTTACCTGGATGATGAAGTATCATAAAGTTTGATGCTGGGGCTGCGGTCCCTTCTAACAGAAGCTGGCTCCAACGTGGGCAAACCAGTGGCAGATGTGGTTGTTGTCCAAGTGGATGACACTCGCCGTAGAAGACCTGGGGGCAGGCTTTTCCGAAAGCGCTGTAGGTAAGACAATAACATCTTATGATTACTTTATCATGTCACAGAGAAGCGGGAATTGACTTATTCTCCAAAGCATCTGAGGACAAGAGTTAATAGATGACAGCTGGAAGCTAAAACATATGAAGAACGGTTGCAGGAACTGGGTATGTCTAGTTTAATGAAAAGAAGGACTAGGGGAGACATGATAGCAGTGTTCCAATATCTCAGGGGCTGCCACGAAGAAGAAGGAGTCAAGCTATTCTCCAAAGCACCTGAGGGCAGGACAAGAAGCAATGGGTGGAAACTAATCAAGGAGAGAAGCAACCTAGAACTAAGGAGAAATTTCCTGACAGTTAGAACAATTAATCCGTGGAACAACTTGCCTCCAGAAGTTGTGAATGCTCCAACACTGGAAGTTTTTAAGAAGATGTTGCATAACCATTTGTCTGAAGTGGTGTAGGGTTTCCTGCCTACGCAGGGGGTTGGACTAGAAGACCTCCAAGGTCCCTTCCAACTCTGTTATTCTATTCTAAAATAGTTTACTTCCTAAGAATAGCAAGGAGCTGGCCAATAGTTCCCTCTTTTAACAGGCTGACAAGGTAGCTTCCCAGCAGAGATCAGCTTATGAAAGAAAGATCCAGCCTAGAAGTAAGGAAAAAATTTCTGACAGTGGGAATAAGTAATCAGTGGAATAATTTGCTACTCAAAATTGTGGGTGCTCCATCACTGGAGGTTTAAAAAAATAAACTAGACAACCAATTGACCGGGGTGGTATAAGTCTCCTGTCTTGATCAGGGATTGGACTAGAAGAACTCCCTATGATTTTGTGTTCTATGGTGTTTTCATCCATGATCTTCAGTTTTTATCAGCAAGTACACGGGATAACTTGGTAGATGAAGAAAATGCCCCGCTATTAATGATGTGTGGACTTCAACTCTGCTGGCTGGGGAATTCTGGGAGTTGAAGTCCACACATCTTCAAGTTATCAAGGTTGGGAAACACTGCCATAGTTTATGGAACTAGAACCTAAGGACTAGAACTAAGAACCTAGAACTAAGGAGAAATTTTCTGACAGTAGAACAATTAATCAGTGGAACAACTTGCCTCCAGAAGTTGTGGGTGCTCCAACACTGGAGGTTTTTAAGAAGAGATTGGACAACCATTTGTCTGAAGTGGTGAAGGGTTTCCTGCTTGAATAGGGGGTTGGACTAAAAGACCTCCAAGGTCCCTTGGAACTCTGTTATTTTGTTATTGGACTGAGATTGTCGAAGAGTCCCCTTTTTCCCACCATTTCTGCATCAATTGGTGTCAATTTCCTTCCTTTGCAGTTCTTCCATAGCATCTAAGCACATAAGCTGTTGCTAATTATGCCAGCAAACATTAAACCAGGATTTGAACGCAGAAAATAGTTACTTGCCTGAGTTTTGCTTTATACAGTTCAATGAACAGCAATCTACTTTTGAAATTCTTTCAAAAGAAGAAGAAGACGAAGAAGAGGAGGAGGAAGACGAGTTTGGAGAGGGAAAACATATTTTAAGTCCAGAATAACCACATAACATTTGGAAATGGCTCAGATAGACACCCCTCTGATTCACTGGAGTATAAGGAGGGGGAGAAGGGACAAGCAAAGCTGACTCACCAGGTTCTGTTATTACAGCCCATTACAATGGTACCTTGATACTCAACTGCTTTAAAATTCATAGAATTTGGTATTCAAAGCATTTTGATGTGAACATTTTGTCCCAATGCTCATTGTTTGTTTGGTACTCAATGCACAAACTAGAACTTATGGTGTCAGCTGCCTTGTGACTCACTACATTATTCCTTATGGGAAAAACTTTGTTTGGTACTCATCGTTTTTGGTACTCATTGGGTCTCCTGAAACAATTTATGGTAAGTACGGAGGTACCTACTGTACAATAAAAGTAGCTCTAGCGTTTCGACTATGGAGTTGAGTCTCTGGTTTGGTTTACCTACTGGGTCTTACACCTGACGTGCATAAAAGAAATCAGGTTGACATTATAGGTTGACAGATGACATTATAATAAAAAAAATTCTGGAATGTGCAGAAATGGATAGGTTAACCCTAAAAATCAAAGGAAAAGAAGAGTCGGAATATTTTATAACATGGGAACTATTCTATGAATCATTAAGTGTCAGATACTGAGGTTAGAGGAATGGATTTATGTGAAATATGGACTACATGAGAAAGAAAAACTGGTAAGTACCCAGTTTCCCCCAAAATAAGATATCCCCTGATAATAAGCCCAATTGGGCTTTTGAGTGCATGGCAATAAGGCCAAGTGCTTATTTCAGGGTTCAAAAAAATATAAGACAGGGTCTTATTTTTGGGGAAACACGGTAAATATTTTGATGGTTATATAATCAATACTATAATGGAAGATAGTATACTTTTCAATAATGATTGATATTATTGCATATATGTTTATGTATACCGTGTTTCCCCGAAAATAAGACCTTGTCTTATATTTTTTTTGAACCCTGAAACAAGCGCTTGGCCTTATTGTCATGTGCTCAAAAGCCCAATTAGGCTTATTATCAGGAGATGTCTATTTTGGGGGAAAACAGGGTATATGATTATAATGATGATGATGATGTTTATATGTTAACACTTTGGACACCTAGAAAACACACTGTTCAACATAGAAATGGAATATGTGATATAAAACAATAAAAAAAATATTTAACAGGTTGGCAAGCTAAATACACAACGTTTACCTTGGGAATGGTAAGCTTTTCTCCCTTCTCTGAACATTCTTCTGTGTCGGAACCAGTGTAATTTTCATTGAAGGATGCCAAAGTGTTGACTCTTGGTCTGTGAATAGCTTGGAAGGTCAGCTGTGTGTTAAGCAGGTTGCTGACTGCTCGGAGGGAGGTGCAGACATTGGGTGGCAATGAAGGATCTGCTAGAAGGTCGGTAATGAGTCCATGAGCTTCTCCCATGACGGCAATATCCACGGTAATACTGGTACCCGAAGACTGGAAAGAGAGGAAAAACAAGCATTAGCCCTAAATTAGGAATTAAATAATGCATAGCTATGCCAATGTGATTTGTACAGTGGGAAGGAAGGGAGGGAGGAGGGTTGCCATGATGCCCACTGGCATTGTATTGCTGACCGAGGTCAGCGTAGAATGAAAAAAACCCACCCTACATAATTCTTGTTCCACGCTTTCTATGGTACCATTAATGGGCACTAACATCAGCCAGAAGATGCTTTTTTGCACATTAAATGAAAAGAAAAACCTAACATAAATGAAACGATTCATACTGCTTCTAGTTTGACTGCCCATATAAATCAGCTTTATTATATATTCATGAGGTAAATAGCCATGTTCTTAGGAAAATGTAGCCTTCAACGTACGACCACAATCGAGCTTCAAACTTCTTGTGGCTAAGTGGGGCAGTTTTTGCCGCGTTTTAAAATCTTTCTTGCCACAGTTATTAAGCGAATCACCGCAGTTGTTAAATTAGTAATATGGTTGTTAAATGAATCCGGCTTCCCCATTGACTTCGTTTTGTCAGGAGGTTGCCAAATATAATCACATGACCCCCGGGACACCGCGATTGTCATAAATATGGACCAGTTGCCATGCATCCAAATTTTGATCACATAACCATTGGGGATGTTGGAACAGTCGTGTGAAAAATAAGTCACGTTTTTCAGTGGTGGTGTAACTTCAAATAGTCACTAAATGGCTGTAAGTGGAGATTTATCTGTATGTCCTTCAGTGGCTCTAGCTCATCCTATTTTTTTTTTGTCTCCAGAACCCGAGAAAGGATCATAAAGCTTTAAAAAGCCATTTCCCTAAAGCCTTTTTTGACAGTAGCTTATATCAATGTTAGCCTGTGACCTAGTTTGCTTTATCATCATCATCATCTTCATTTAACGACCACATAATTCCTTGCAGGGTGGAATCTGGGCTACTGAAATGGAGCTAGAAGAGTGTTTTAATGGCCAAATGCCCTTCCTGTCACCAATGCGGAGTTCTGTTCAGCAGATATATTCTCAGTGTGCCCAGAGAGAGAAATATCTGCCTCTACCTAGGATCGAACTCACCGCCTCCTGATTGTGAGGCGAGAGCTCCACCTCTAGGCCACCGCACCACTCCTACCTAGTTTGCTTTATGTTCAAGGGAAAAGGCATTCAAGGTTGGAAATGCAATTCCAGATCTGATTCACCGTTAAAAATATGAGCCACTCCATAGGTCCTAGCAATCAAGATCGCAACCCATCTCAAAGCAAAACAAAGGAACAAAATGGCGGGTGGGGTGGAAGGGAGGGGCAGGGAGAGGAAAAATCAAAGATTGTCTACCAGGCATCAGAAAGCCAAGCAATAAGAGTCCAACAAAATATCATGAGCTGATTTCAGGTTCCAAAGCACATCATGAACTCTCTGGCCAAGACTTAAAATTAAAAGTAAACATATTTCTCCTTTCTCTACTGTTCTCCCTTGCCTTCAACTTCTAATTTCCAAACCCCCCCCCCAAAAAACACTTGAGCAGCACAGATCGGCAGTTTCTGTGGAAAAACGCCAGTCGTTTCGGAGTTTGCAGTTCGGCCCCAAAAGGGATTTACCGGGATTGGAAAATACGTAATTTTTAAAGTATGTTTTCTTAAAAGAAATTTGGGTTCCTTTCACGCAAATAATGGGTGTGGACTTGACAGACTTTATAAAAATGACTTTCCCTCCCCCAAGAGCTTTCATGTCATTATGGCAACCGGTGTAAGAACTGAGCCAGTGTAGAAACTAAACCAGGTTTCTATTAAATGATCATTTCTGGTCTTTGCTAAAAAAAAAACATGCTACTTCACGTCGCAGCAGAGGTAGCCCTGGAAGAGCCATATTGAACACTGGTAGTCCTTAATTTACGACAACTGAGCCCAAAATTTCTGTTGCTAAGTAAGACAGATTTTAAGTGAGATTTGCTCCTTTTTACCACCTTTCTTGACACCGTTGTTAAGTGAATAACTCTAGTTGTTAAATTGGTAACAAGGTTATTAAGTGAATCTGGCTTCCCCCATTGATTCTGCTTGTCGGAAGGTCACAAAAAGTGATCATGTGACCCTGGGACACTGCATCCGTCATATCCGCCAGTTGCCAAGCGTCTGAATTTTTGATCACCTGACCATGGGGATGCTGCAAATTGAGGACTAGCTGTATAAATTATTAGGGATGTTTGTCCCAAAGCTGCTTTTTCGAAAGGCGACTGGACTTTTGTTTTTCCTTGAAGACGTTTCATTTCTCATCCAAGAAATGTCTTCAGTTCACTTCATATTTGAAGTTGTGGCCACTCTACAAGATGGCTACCGAACTAAACCTTGAAGGTTTCTCATCTTTTCTAATGACTGTGGGAGTTTTCTGAATCTTAGGTTTGCTTTCAATTAATTCAGGCTTCAGATCAGTGGTGGGTTCCTCCTGGTTCGGCCGAGCCGGTAGCGGTGATGATATGACGTCACTGAACTGGTTCTCTTTTTTTGGGAGCTGAGCCCTCCCGCCCTCCCCCACCCCCCGCGTTATTCTTACCTTTTATTTGGCCTCACCCCCAATCTATTGCTGCCTCCCGAGTCCCAGCTGATCAGCTAGAAGGAAAAAAACTGTTTAAACTCTTGCCGCGGGGCTTCAAAGGGCTGCCGTACAGCTGATCAGTGTTAAAAGGCAGTGTGGTGGTAGACCAGTGCCTCCAAAAACAAATGAGTAGACTGGTGCCTCCAAAAACAAATGGGTAGACCGGTGCCTCCAAAAATGAATGAGTAGACCGGTGCCTCCAAAAACAAATGGGTAGACCGGTACAGCTCTGCAAGCAGTTAAAAGCCTGGTAGACCAGTACCTCTGCTAAATCCTAAATAATTGTCACATGACCATCAAGCCACGCCCACAAAATAAGCCACGCTCACAGAACCGGTAGTAAAAATTTTTAGAACCCACCCCGATCTGCATCAAATATCCTCATGAGGGCATCTTCTTGATCCCTAAACAAAACAACCCTCTGGATAATAACTCCTATTCTTGCAAGATGAAATGAGGCTAAGGCAACAAACCCATCAGGTGCCAAGGATCAGGGTCACATAAGTTCCAGTTGAGGAGATTTATTGTTCGTGCTTATAACCATGAATCCAGCCAACTAATGTATAATGCTAAATTGGTGTCAGATTAAGGCTCAGCAGAATTCAAAAGTGGTTAGACTTAGACGTTTGTGGCAATATAATAACTCCAGGCTGATGACTCACTTAACCCCAACGATGCCCTTGAAGTGATGTCTCAGTGCCTGGAGGCTGTGTGGATCTGGATGGGGAGGAACAGGCTCAAGCTCAACCCTTCCAAGACTGAGTGGCTGTGGTTCCCGGCATCCCGATATAGTCAGCTGACTCCATCTCTGACTATTGGGGGTGAGTCTTTGGCCCCCTCGGAGAGGGCGCGCAATCTGGGAGTCCTCCTGGATACGCAGCTGTCCTTGGAGGAACATCTGACGGCTGTAGCCAGGGGGACCTTTTGGCAGGTTCGCCTGATTCGCCAGTTGCGACCCTTTCTTGATCGGGATTCCATGTGCACAGTCACTCATGCCCTCGTCACCTCTCGCCTGGACTACCTGCAACGCTCTCTACATGGGGCTCCCCTTGAAGAGCACCCGGAGGCTCCAACTGGTCCAGAATGCGGCTGCGCGGGTAATTACGGGAGCTGCATGGCGCTCCCACATAACACCGCTCCTGCGCGAGCTGCACTGGCTCCCAGTGGTCTTCCGGGTGTGCTTCAAGGTGTTGGTTACCACCTTTAAAGTGCTCCATGGCATAGGACCTAGTTATCTTCGAGACCGCCTGCTGCTACTGACAACCTCCCATCGACCCGTGTGCTCCCACAGAGAGGGCCTCCTCGGGGTGCCATCAGCCAAACAATGTAGGCTGGTGACCCCCAGGGGTAGGGCCTTCTCTGTGGGGGCACCTACCCTATGGAACCAGCTGCCCCCTGAGATAAGGAGAATCCAAGACCTTGGTGCCTTCCGCCGTGCCCTTAAAACTTTCTTTTTTCAGCAAGCCGGGCTGGCTATCATATTTTTAAATTTTAAATTTTTAATTGGTTTGTCATTTTAAACTGGGGCCAAATTAATATATATTCTTTTAATTGTTCTTAATGTTTGTATTGTATGCTTTTATCTGGCTGTACACCGCCCTGAGTCCCTTGGGAGAAGGTGCGGTATATAAATTTGAAATAAAATAAAATAAAATAAAATAAAAATAAAAACTCTGCCCCCTTAGCTCTGTATGCTCTTCTCCTACACAACCATACTATAGTTAGAAGAAGCTATGGGTAAGAAGTAGAGTAAAATCTAGCCTTTGTCATCAATGTCTTGATTGTTTAACCAAATTACTGTGCTGCAGATATAAGAGAAAATATAGTTAATCAAAAGAGCCTCGTGAGTTGGTCTATTTCTCCAACCGTTGAGATAATTTAGTCTCCAATGTTTTGTTTTTGGCTATTTTGGGACAAAATGGAAAATCTTTTAAATATCTGACATGTCCCACTTTGAAATGATTAAAAAAAACCTGATATCATCAAGAGTTTGGAATTTCCTCTGTGACAGGAAACACAGCTGTTGGGTCCCCTTTATCCCACAATATTTGGTAGAGGAGTGGGATGACAAAGAAAGAAAATAAAACAATTAAAAATATTGATCATGAATGATTCATATTTTCTCTCTCTCTCTTTCTCTCTCTTCTCTCTCTCTCATTTACCTTTTAATTCCATATAACACATGGAAGGAATTACAGATTCAGACTCTCAATTTTTCTTTAAATTATACATCAAGTTCAGAGCAATCCCCCCCCCATTTTCGAAAAATCTGCCCTTATTATTCCGTGCAGTCTTTTAAGTCTTAAAAATCCAGATGGTTAGAAAGCGAAAAAGACACAGCCAAGCGAGAATGGGGGAAGCAAAGTATAGAACAAAACAATGGCAGTTATATCGTCATTTGAAATGTGAATT